AAACATAGAACCTTTTTGGGTGGTAAGCAGGGAACATAGAACCTGGGAAACATAGAACCCGGGAAACATAGAACCCTTTTTGGTTAAGTGGGGAACATAGAACCTGGGAAACATGGAACCTTTTTGGGTGGTAAGCGGGGAACATAGAACCCGGGACACATAGAACCCGGGAAACATAGAACCCTTTTTGGTCAAGCGGGGAACATAGAACCTGGGAAACATAGAACCCAGGAAACATAGAACCTTTTTGGGTGGTAAATGGGGAACATAGAACCCGGGAAACATAGAACCCGGGAAACATAGGGATGACCCCGACTGTCATACTGTCTCTCCGAAATCCACTGCAAAAGTTAATTTTTTTTAACGTACTTAAGGCAAATTCTGGACCAAAATATTACAGAGGGAAGACTTCCAGATGTCTAGTCTCTGTACACATAGGTAAGTGGAAATGAGGCACTAAGATATAAATCAAATACAGAAAAATAAAATGGCTTAAAAAACAAAACAAAACACTTGTTTTCACTCACTCGGTTGTAAAAATACCACGGGCTCATGCAGCAACATGTAAATGTTTGTATCTGAAAGAAGGTTTATATTTTTATTAAAAAGGCTGAGCAAATGCAGGGTCCTCACGTTAACTTTAGTATCAGTCAAATCCAGCTTAGCGAGCAAAGAGACAGATACAGAGACATCTGCTGTGTCCAAAATCATTCACTCATTCCCTACTCACTAGAGGACTATATATGAGCTCATCTGTAACATGAAAAATCACTTTTGGACATTACTCAGGTTGTTTTTCAGCGCCCTAAATGACGTCATTGCTGTCGCACAATTAAAACAGGTCATTTGAAAGGTATATCTGTGATAAAAACATTAAAATATAGGGCCTACTGAGCATATTTTGCCCAGATTAATAAATAACATTACAAAGTGCTTTGTGGTCGTTAATGTGTGCTGTGATGCTGCTCTGCTCACATTAAACATATTAATGACATTACACTGGCACACAGACAAGAAGGCGCAGCGCGACTGCAACCTGTCTCACTAATGTAAGTAATTTCCTGTTTAACCTTTCTTGTGTTGAAGTTTGTTTTACCATTCAGTCATGCAATAACTTGTGCATTAAAGGTATAACATTATGCATTACACCATTACAGCACAAATCAGAGCTGGCTGCGACCCAGCTTGCTAACGTTAGCTAGCATTATTAGCCCTACTCTGTACAGTAACTGTGACACACTTGAGAAGATCAGTTTCCGAGTCTCTCCGTGAACCGATGACTTTACATTAAATTAACAGTTTATTACACGGCAAAGAAACGAGTAAACAAACTTCAACATGTCAATATAAGTCAAACATGTTAAACGTGTTGTAATTGAGCTGCCTTCTTTCTTGCGTCATCCATCTCCGTACCTGTCCGTTCCTTTGGGGCAATGCGTGATGGGATACATTGCTTGGTTAGTGACTATCGGTTGTACACTCCTTTCAGCGGTGCATTGTGGGATACTTTGAGTTCACTATATCCACCTTATTTCTGAGGGCACTACTGTAGAAAAGATTATGGGTGTAACTTTAAGTGAGATAGCCGAAGGAGCAGTAAGCTAGTTAGTCCCATAGACAGTGTGTGGTTAGTCCCAGTGGCTACTCTTGGTGGCTAACCGCGTACGCTGGTTCTTTTTGAAAGTAATTTTCCTTCAGATTAGCAAATACTGATTTATTTTTTTAACAAATATTTAACTACTACTTAGCCTTTTCTAAAATGTCTTTGCGAAGCTCTGGTACCTGTTGCACTGTCTCTGTCTGTAACGACACATTTCAAGTGTGTTCGAGTGTGGTACACACAGGAAGCAACGTCATACGCACATGACAACAGGAGGGGACGGCGGTGCGTGAATGGATTTACCCCTCCCACTTGTGGTAGCTTTACTGATATTTCTTATCCCGTGCGAATTGGCCATTAATATTACCGACGTCCTGTGGTAAAGTGACATTACCCTACGTGTCCATGTAAAACTAATCCCGTCTGAATAGTGCTAAAGCTAAATTTTTGTTTTCAGCAACTGTGTGTTGAACGTGTAACCAGAACAAAAAGGGATTGTTCCTGTTGCCAAAGGTACCATTCATATGAGAAATAAAACCACAAGAGTTTCACGAGACATAGCAAAAAAGTATGAAATCATAATTTGCAGAAGAGAATGACACGTTGACTGACAAGTCCATCACTCAACGTTAGTACATGATATCTCTGTCTTTCCCTGTCTGACTTCGTTCTCAACCTACATTAGAAAACAAACCCAGCAAAAATACCTTGAAATATGTATTTAGTCATTAGTGCTGAGAATGTGTTACTGATTTACTGTACTTCCTTTACATCGTATAAAAAATGAATGCCAAAAGTAAGGTATCATGGGGGCTAGGAGTAAGGTGGATAGGGTATAATAATTCCCACTATACATTTGGACAGTACTACGAAATGGCTGGTAGTGAATGATTTCGGACACAGCCATTGATTAGCATAGCTTTAACAAATAGCTAAACTTATTATCTGATATAATATCAGGGATTATGTCAGAATATAAAGTGCTGGATGTAGAGTCAGAGTGTTATTAACATTCAGCTCGGTGTCCTGACATAATGGGAGAAGCTCTGTGTAATGTACTGACAGTGTGATGCAGAAGGCAGGAAGTGAAGGCTAAAGCTTGCCTCAGCTGCCGGACATCTGGTCCAGTAATAAATTCCCTCAGTACAAATGTGTTTACTGTCAAACCTTTCTATTTTACACCACTGGAAATTCTCTGCTGTTTTTCTGAGTCATTATCACATGATATTCATAGCTGGGACTTAAGAGGATCTCAAACAGGATGTTGAGTTGAAATATCGGATCATTCAAACATATGTGACATTTCCATACCCGAGTCACACTGGGATTCACACAAAGGCTTAAATGAATGGGTTTCAATCATCTATTGATGATAACAGACGGATGATGAGAGCAAAGGTAGGACAGACGGATGCTAAATCATAACTTAGGGGGGTTTAGGGTTTCAGGGGCTGGTTGGACACCTCATGTTAAGATTTTCCTTTAAGTCCTACAGTAGGTAAGGTTCCCTTGAATTAAGTCTTCTCTTCAAAGTTTCCTTAAAATGTTCACTTAAGTATTGTTATGTATTTATAAAAAATAAGCATCATTGCTGAAACATATTTGCACACTCGTTTTAGTTTGAAAAATAATAAGAATACTTCAGTACATTTATGACACATCAACTGGGCTGTTGGATAGTGGGCATCATGTGATGCAATTCTTCAAGGAACCACTAGATGGCAACACATCATTATGTAAGTTCACAGACCTTTTATTCAGGCCCAATAATACTCTCCCATCCTATACAGGCTACACTAGAAACATTTATTATATATTGTAGACATATCAAAATATTGTTTGTCATCTTTGACTAATTACCTCTAAGTCTTCACTCTATATTTATCATTGTGATGCTATAATTTGTGTTCAGCTATCTTGCTGAACGTGTGAGGAGACATTTTTTGTCATTGTCAGTATTCATTTTTAGATTTGTCTATGTAAAACAGTTTGTCCTTATGAATGTCAGACTGCCCAGAAAGTTGCAGAAAGATGACAAGAACCAAGGAAATGTTGTAATTGTGTGGATAGAATAACATTTCACATTTTTATTTGTTTTTTTTTTTTTTTTTGTATATGTAAAACTAACACATGCCAGTTTTGGATGGATAAACCAAGTGTCCCTATAGTTTGTCTGTTGTGACGTCAAGCCCGTCATCACCATGGGAAGAGCTATAGGAATGCTTGTTATCCAATTCACATTGTTTTTTTGTCCCCGTTCGCTCATGCGTGCATAGCTCTCATACTATCCCTCTTTTACCATGCACACTGTAAAACATCAGCACACACTTATAAAAGGGTTTTGAGACTGTGAAAATCCTGACAACAGTTGCGGGCTGGATTCCTTTTCCCCCTCTCAAAAACAGTCATTATTTACCCGTCAAACAAACTGACTTTGCCACCGCAAAACCTGCTTTTCGGCGGTTATATTTAGTTTGCCAGCTAACATAGACATGTGGTTGTAAATCTGTGTTTAATACAGGAAGGTTTTAATAACAAAAAGTACAATATGATGAAAACATGCTGATTTATGTGGCACTTCCTTAAATCTCTGGTTGAGCACTGTAAGGTGACATCGCTGTGTTAGGAATGTGTACACAAAGGACAAAGCAGCTACATGTGCTGTTATTGATATTCTGTACCTTGTATGTAAAGTTAGGTTTCCAGGGGTGATGAGGCAGCCAGGTGGTATCCTGGACTGTTTGCAGGGAAGGATCCGGAATCAGGCTGTTTGCTCTGTAAGGCCTGTTGTCTATCCAGGAAAAACATTCCCACCGTGGGGCTGAGCAGAGTGTGCTGAGGAACAGCAGTTTACCACAAGCAGGGCGGATACAGAGCATCCTGCATCCTGGATGCTCACTGCAGCTAAACCTCAGCCATGGAGACCCAACATGGGATTAGGTAACCTCTCAGGCCCCCTCCACCACCACCACCACCACCACCACCATCCCCACACTGCTTCTCCTTCCCAGGTTACACGTGTGGTTGGATTTGGTGTGGTGGTCCAATAACTTTAACATAGTTTATTAATAGTTTATGTTGAATAATTCTGTTACAGATGCTGCTGGCTATTTTACAAACAAACATGACACAGATGTGTTTGTGGCAATCACTGATAAGGGCCCATTCTCACAGGCCCCTGTGCGACCTCACTGTCTGCACTATCTATATTTACACTCCTGAAATTGGGTTATGAATCCATTTTTTTTTTTTTTGTTAGACACAGCATGCGAGATGGAGACATGCATGTGATTTATGCTTCTTTGAAAGTAAGGCAATGTGTGGAGTTAAATAATTAATTAATACTGACTATATGTGACCAACTGCAAAGGGCTCATTTATAAAAAGAAAAATCACACAATGTCAGTTTTCTTACTTTATTTCATGTTTTTTAATAATTACATGGATTCAGTTTCTTTCAGAAATTTAAATTTTGCAAAAAAAAAAAACTTAGAACATTTTCAGATTGTAAGACACAACATCTGACCATATGTACTACAAGTGATTCTTATTAATTTGAGATACTCATGTAATTTATTTAATATGATATTTGAGCAAACATAGTTTTTGGAAAAACCCCAAACACACATCTAGACTCCTGCATAAGTGCCATTGTATTGGAATGGCTTGTCTGTCACACAGTGACCTATGACCTCAGGTGTCCATCTCTGGACCTTGGGCTTGCCGTCCGGTCCCGGCCGGACAATGATGGTGCTTCTGGACGCCAACGAAGGGTCTTCGTCATAAAAGTTGAAGGGTCGGAGGATAAAGCCTACTGAGTTGCCGGGTGTTGCCGTGTTGGGGATGTCCTCTGAGTGAGGCACATGGAGGAAGCCCACTGTCACCCAGGCGACCAGGTCCTGCACACAGGAGGGCAAACATTACATTAGAATTTTCAGAATAGGACACATTAAGTGGTTTTTATCTACTTAAGAGTGTAAACAGAAAGAAAATGTCAGCATTGGTGAGTCACCATGACGGAGAGTGAGCAGAGCTGATGAACAGATTCTTTTAGGAAAAGCAAATTTAGACCAATGATGTAACCTCCCAGAAAAACACCCCCACCCCCGAAATGTAAACCACATTTCTAAGAATCCATGTGAAACATCACAAAGGACTCTGTCCATTAGTGAATTGTGACGCCTTGCACCAGTAAAAAAGGGACTGAGTATGTTGTTTGCTTTAATCATCATCACTAACCCCCCAAATCTCAAAAACCACATAACAGAATTGTAACTGAACTGTTATTGTAGATGGTGGTGATCACAAGATGATATTGTTTGATACAATAAGGTTCTCGATAAACTTTTTCTCATTGGTTTTCAAATGATCTGTACTTGTTAAGTCTTCTTTAACATATGGGGACTGTGTTTGAAATTTGAAATGAGGTGTGTTGGATTTTTAAGTGGAATAGTTCAACATTTTGGAGAACAAGTTTTTTTTTATTCATTTTTATAAGGGTATTGATGTTACTCTTATGTTTATTGTGGACAGGATGTTCACTACTGTACCTTGTTGACTATGTCTTCATTGTTGCGGATGTAGTCCTCAAAGGACACAGTAGGATCCCATGGGTTATTCTGGGTGTAAATGCTGCTGCTGCTGGCTTCACTATCTTTATGACGAGTCACAGCCAGAGGATACCTGCAGAGAGACAGTCCGCCATGCAATCAGTTTTTTACGTTACCTGTCATTCTGACAGCTTACAGATAAAGAATTCATACAGAGTAACGACACCAAAGCCGCCGACAGCCCTTTCCGACGGGGAACTGTGAACAAATATGACTGGATTTGGGGTAAATGTGTACAAGATGATAGAGAAGACATTTGGAATGGTGGCAACCATAAAAACATGGCATATTGGGTGTAAATATTTTACCCTACATTATATATTTTTTAAGGCAACATAAGAGGAAATATTTTATTACCTCGACCAGGGGACGCCATCTTCCTCTTTCCAGCCTCTTGGCAGAACGCTGTCGGCATGTGAGTTAAACTGAATACGGTAACCCCTCTGGTGTCCCCATTTATTTTTCTCACTGGGGTTGTAAAAGTGCACATAGCGGGGGAACTTTTTGCCGAAGCGGAAAGCGGCAGATCGCTCAGTCTCATGCAGTGTCTTCTCAAGTTTGGACTGGACAACAAAATTCTTCGGGCTCCAGGGATTTGTGAAGTTGACGAATTTCAGATCAATTGACTCAACGCTGTTGTCCCGACCTGTGTCAGAGTGAAGGCAAAGAGTTTACAGTAGAAGTTAGATGTCAAGGTTTAAGCAGTCTGTTAAGTCACTGTACAGTATATTTACTTTTGCATCAGAATTGAATTATGTATGGCACATAGCCTTGATCACAGATAGCCTTTATCACACATTTTAAAACAGTCTTACAAACTTGATAGGCTGGACAAGACTGTCTTTATGACAGGATAAAGTCAAGACCATGTTACCTGGATTGGCATCAATAAAAGACTGAAAGTTAAGTCTCTGCCCTTTCTCTCACCTCATTTTACAGCCTTCACAACTTCAAGATAAACACAATAAACACACTGAGATTGTGTTGAGATTGTTTTAAGGACAATAATAAGTCACCACTGTTCTTTAAAGACCACAGTGGGGTCATACTTGTTGCCCATTGTCTGAGTTTGTAAAATTTTATGTGATGATTTTTTTTCCAATCCCATTACCAAACAAGAACGTCAATACCAGAGGATTCTGCATCACAGGATTATGTTTACCACCAAAGTTTTTCTATGATCAGTACAATATCTGTGAATGGCAACTATGGCATGGGAAAGGATTGTGGTTATGGCATATATATAATGGTTAAGGTATGGTCAGGTTTGGGCAACCGTGATATTTGTGGATTGGGGAAAGATCATAGCTATGTTAATTATAGGGCATGACAGGATTTAAACTCCTGTCTCCTATGTGAGTCTGATTCGTTACACCCTTACTCTCCACCTTGGTACATAAAGGCACTGATACATTTGACATAAATTGTGAGGTGCAGAATCCTCCAAGACACTTGGCTGGGTTTTCCACAGATCTTGAATTAAGCCTTTTTTTATGAAGTACAGACGGTCAATGGTCAACAAAGAGTTACTACTTAAAAATCAATCTAAAAAACTTGCTAATTGTACCGTAATACTCACCAGCAATATCCAGGTCCACTTTGTAATGGATGAGGTGTGTGTGGAGGTTACCCAGCACATAGTTGTACACCTTGTTACCATAGTGAAGTCCGTTAGGTGTAAAGAAAGTGGAGTGGATGTATCCAGTAGCGCTGACCTTTACCTCTGCCACCCCATTCTGGTAGAAGAGGAAGTCCCATATGTAATCGTAGTTGTAAACCGTCGAGACTGTCCGCAACACCAGAACATGGTTTTCCAGCCCTGCGTAGAAGTTGTATCCCCCGTTGAAGTTGGAGTTGAAATGCCTTCTCAAAGGCATAGCAGTGGTCATCTCAAAAATACAGAGTGCATTTTTGTGGTGCAAAGGTTTGTCGGTGTCAAAGTAGTGGTAAAGGTCAACAAAGGTGGCTAATTCTGGACAGTCGATTCCAGGTGCCAACTCATAGGTTGAGCTCCCCATTGCCCAGCCAGCATCTATGTACTTGGTTTGCATAGCTGCGGGAGTATCACCAGAATAGAACGCAATAGCTTCTTGGAGGCCGATCTCATAGGCAATCCTTTCTCCATTAAAACGCAGGTCAAAGACTTGAAGCCCAGCTGTTGAGCGGACTCTGTAGGCAAAAGACCATCCGGCATATTCAACAAAGTTGCGGTCAACGTGATATCGAGGCCCCTGAGGCTCGACAAGCTTTGGCCCATGGATATTAGTGGGTGTGTTAGTGTGACCCCGGGGGATGTAGGTAGAGTAGAGGTCATTATCATCATGATCAGGCAGTTTGATCTTCTCCACACCTCCTGATTCATATTTTTCAACCAGTTCCTCAACACTGTCAAAGTACATGCTGTTATACCAGACCTTCTCAACGGTCCACTTTTCTGGATCCAAGTCCTGGTGGTTGATCAGTACCTCAAACCCAACTGGGTGAATGAAATAACCCTCCACGAACTTCTGCAATATGATCCAGGTTCTCCTTTCACCTGGACCCAACCCACGGGGACCTACATCTGAGAATGTCAGGCAGCGGTCAGAGCAGTTAGTAAAGGAAAACCCCCCTGTGCTTTCAAACAGGAGCTTGTGAGCTTTGTTTGTTATCTTCCCGAGGATCTCACTAATATGGTGATACTCAGCAGCAGTAATGGGCCTCGAGTAAAAGTGGATAGGCCTATCCCCCTTGAACATCTTGACTTTGTGGGAATTTGGGGATGGCAAAGGGCTGACGATGTATTCAGTGATGTTGGGAGTGGTCTGGTTTCCAAACTGGATGATCACACGAGCTTGACGAGGGGGTTTGGCCTGCCCACGGTCCAGAGCTCTCAGGGCTTCATGCTTCCTTGGCACATGAAGTTCCATCAGGATGATGCTGTTCTTCTTCAGAGTATTGCTACGAGCATCGGTGAGCTCCATTTCTGGAATACCGTGCAGGTAGGCCCGGACAGCTTTCATCTCACGTGCTGTGAGGTCGGCAAACATGGGGGCACCATGATGGGCCCAGTCTCTTGATCTAGAGGCACTACAACCAGCCAAGCAGACCAGCAGCAGTGGACAGAGAAGCCTCATGGCTGTAAGATAATGAGAAAAGAATATCCAGCATGAATTTGGTGAATGAGGGAGAAAAACTGGATATGTTGAGTGAATTCAAACGCAGACTATTCTAAAGCCTAAAGCATCACAACCTCAAGTAACATCTCTCCTGCAGAATTCCAAGGACACACCTCACTCATCTTTCTTTCTTCCTCACAGCCGGATAAGCATTTCTTGCTCGATCCCTTAACTCTATTTGCTTTAATCATATCAGTCTCTCCTCTACGTCTCCAAAGGAGCACATACACTATATATCAGCCCCTGACACTCACAGTCAACAGTGTTCCTCCCACTGCCCCCTGTTTATCTTCCTGCACTGTTTTATGCTGCACACTTATGAGATAAACTGCATTCAGTTTCAAAATTCCAATCAAGGTCTCAATGCAATTCGTCACATTCTGCAGAATTAATTAGATTGTATAATATGTTTACACAATAGCATTTATGTAATAATGTTATTAATGTTAATGACTCCCCATGCTTCCTTCCTTGCACCTCTGAATCTGGATCAAAGAAATAGACAAAGCTACTGCACCTGTAGTCGTCCACTTGCTCTCAGCAGTTTGTAAAATAAGGTTGATCAGTCGTGTCCCCTTGTCTCAGCAATCAAAGAATCGTTCTTATGGAAACAGGAATCAGTGCACTGCTGCTTATATTTAGCCACCTACTTTGCAGTGACGGAGGCTGATTGGTCAACAGTGTGTTGTAAATATGATGAAATAGGTACAGAAGGCAAGGCGAGTTTATTTGTATTGCACCTTCAAGGCAACTCATATTGCTTTACATAAGACATACAGTAAAAGGAATTTAAAAAAACACAAGGCAATGTAGAAAGACATAAAAATGATTTTAAAGAGCAAAGTGAAAGATGTAATTAAGCTGGTGACAGGTCACCAAGGCAAGGCAGCTTTATTTGTATAGCACATTTCATACACCAGGGCAATTCAAAGTGCTTTACAGAGCAATAAAATGTAAAACATAATGAATAGGAAAGGAAACAGATGTACAATAAAAGAGTCAGGAGAAAAAACTACTTATTAATTACAGTTATTGAAATTAAATGACACAGAGGCTAGAAGTTATAGTCACTGCAATGCAGGGCAAGATATTAATAAATTGAATAAATTTAAATTTAATAAAGCCCAGGGACAAACCAAAGTTTTTGTGATAGTGAGAGAGAGATGATGCAGATATAAGCGCACATTGTTTGAGTCTGTTATAGATATGTAGTGCATAAAAATGTTGTCTCCATGTTTAATATTGTGAAGAAAAAAACAACTTTAAGTCTTGTTTGGCAATGAGAGCAGTCTGCATCAAGAAAAAGTGTCTATTAAGTCTTTTAAACAGTCACAGCACATTTATACATACCTCATTTAACCGGTTAAACAGGTCTTTTTTATTTATTCTATTATAACTTTGGCTGTTATTGTTGTAATACTTGTACTGTCAGTAGTGTGATAGTTGCTGCAGTGCCGGTGTGCATTCATGGTCCCCAAAGGATGAATCCTACTGACTTTGGTAATCCCCTAACTTTCCATTTTCCAGTTTTTGGGGAACTGTCTCCACACCTATCAAATGGATTACCATGACAGCGGTACACACTTTTAAACATCCCCCACAGGATGACTTGTGATAACCTTTGGTAATCCCCTGACTTTTCATCAAGCACCACCATCAGTACTCTGATTTATGACCAAATACCTTACAAGCTAATCATTCCCAGCCTCAGTTGTTTTCTGTGTTTCTGTGTTGAAACCGAAAATGTTCAACTAAGATGGTTACTATGGAAAACATAATACTTGGTCATTGTGAGCATATGAACTAACAAAGTGACAAAACTCATTAATGTCTCTATTAAGACACGCAATGTCTCCAAGGCTGCAATAAAGAGTTTGCTGGGAAGTCAATTATGACACACTGTTTTGCTTACAAAGCCGACCCTTGTGACATCAGTACCGTAGCCTCTCCTTCCTCCTCTCCAGGCTCAGGCTAAGGTGTACTGTGGTGACAGCTGTGTTTGAGCTTCCTCGCTCCAGGGTCAGGAGGTCAGACTTTGGATATTGGTGAGTCTAAAAGCCTTCAGTCCCATGTCTGTTGACACGCTTCATTGAATAAATGCCCCCATCATCCTTCCCGAAACGCCTCTCTTTACAGGATTAGGCTCTGACTAACATCTCTTTATTCTGTGGCTGAGGCGCCACCACCCCCGCCATCACCTCCAGCATCCTGTAATGTTCGACGGGGCAAAGTCAGTGGATGTGTCCGTCACAGGTCCAGTGACCAATGCCTGCCATCCCAGCTGTGTCCTTGCCACTTATATCCAATGGCAGTGGGTTCAGATGCTACTGTACATCCCTTGAGTCACCCCCCACATTTAAAACCCTGCATCTGGGGCTCCGCTCCCCCTATAAGGCAAAGCATCACCGAGGAGTGTTTCACATTCTGTTGGACAGAACAGCAAAGAAGAATAATGACCGAACAAAAGGAAACAGAGCCCATATAAACTTAAATATTGATTAACAAGCTAAGGACTTATTATGGAAATGATTTCCCAAAAGCACTTCAAAAGTAAGTACACCTTGAATTAATAGTATCAGGATTTGGATTACAGAAACATGTCTACATGCAAGTAATGTTATACGGATTTGTTTGATCACACACAATGACAGTGCATTATAATCAATCGTCTGATTGGTTAAAGTCCACACAAGAGGCTGTAAACCTGCCTGACTTTTACTACTAAATGTCAGGAAGAATTTAATTTTTGAGCCTTCATGGCAACATTGATGATTTCAAACTGATAACAAGATGTCTAATCACAAATATTGAGTATAAAAAACTTGAATCCAAGCTTTTTTCTTACAGGAATTTTAGGAACAAACATTCAGGAGAGAGCCATGGAGACACTACTACTGACTCTGCTTGGACTGCAGACAGTGATGGGAGCAGGGTGAGCATGATTCAGAGCAGGATGGAGCACATATTGTAGGCTATGCAGTATACTGAGGTACTGAGGAAAGGAAAGTGAGAAGTGTCCTAACTCTCTGAGAAACTCAGTTTTAACAGCGTTGTAGTAATTGAAATTACTCTTCATCTCAAGACTACTTTTTAAAGGTCTCGGTCTTGTCTTGGACTTGACTGCATTTTTACTTTGGCTGGTTTTGTTCTCAAGATTTTGTTTCAAAACCAGCCAAGACCACAACTGGGGGGTTATCACTAAATTTCCTGTGCATGTTGATTTCAGCTCCTTAGTGTCTATATTTTGCTTACAGAAAGCAAAGGAAAATTCCCACGTATAAAATTAATCTCTGCAATTCCCTTTAACAATATACACACATATATACAGTAGATGGCAAAATAAAAAATGAAAATTAAGAGGAATCTTCATTTGTTTTCTGTGGTTGTTTTATGGTAATGTGGATCTACAGTTCCTAAAGTTTACGTACATATTCCACATTTTATCATAAGTGTGGCACTCGCCCTGCATTGGTCTTGGTCTTAACTTGGTCTCATCCCCTCAAAATCTTGGTCATGTCTTGGTCTCAATACACTCTGGTCTTGGTCATGGCTTGGTCTTGGTTTAGGTGGTCTTGACTACAATAGATATGATAAGTCCAAAACTTACATTAGAATCCATGTTGAAGATAAAGTTGTTAAGGTGCTAATAGCACTCTGGGTTTAGTCTGAGCTACAGTAGGTTCATTATTGTGTCGTCATAGACTGGTGCGCATGCAAGTGTTGAGCAGTTGCATGCAACAAGTGGGATAATATTGTAGTGCTCCTCGCTATTATTCTATTAAAAATGCACTATAGAAAAAAGGTGCTGGTCTCTGTGTATCAGTAAGCAATTTATAAATCTGTTTCATGCCATAACGTTAACATAAGAACATGGTTACTGATAATATTTTCATACTTATTCTGATTTATTTTCATAAACGAGCCTAAATGCAGCCTCTTCAGAAATGCTAACTAACTCTGCTTGTTACGGTTTTGGTATGAGTTTTATAATGGGGATCATTGTAGGGCAGTATCTCCTTCTTGTCCACAGAATTCAGGACCTTTGTGCACAGTAATGCCCTTGAAAATAAAGTATTAAAAAGGACATTAAATATGTGTATTGTGCTCCAGACACTGGTGTGAACACATGGTGGAGGAGAGAGTGGAGCGTGTCCTGGCTCCACGTCTGCAGCTTGAAGTGAGCTGTTCCGAGGTGTATCAGTACAACATCCAGGGCTGGAGGCTCGACGTGGACAGGATGCGTGTCAAGCACGGGGGTGATGATGGCATCGCACTGTACTACAAACAACAGGGTCCCAAGGCGTCCTGTTTCTTGTACAAGTAAGTAAAAAGTTGAGTTATTGTCACTGTGTTGGCCTGTCTCTTAGCCTCAAGGAAGAATTTCTTGTAAACAGAATCACTCAGGACATCATCAGGTCATTAAAAGTTAAAAAGCATTGTGGCAGTATTGATCATATGAAAAAGCAATCCTCAAACGTTTGCACATATTCACACCCTCCTGGTAAAATAACTTGACAAGGAATCCAGTGCAGGATTTACTGCCTTTATAGAAGTGAGACATTTCTCAAAACACTGAACTTTGATCAGCTTGGGTAAATTTTGTACTTCTGAAGGTGCAACCAAGGAATCTATGTGCCTTGCACTAAAGGGTAACATGTTACCTGTAAAGTATAGGATAGTGGGCAATAGTCAAGCCTTTGTACACCAAAAGGAGGAGAATATTCACCTGTTGTGTCTGTTGGTTTCAGACCCCCAGAGATGGAGAACCAGCTGGTGAACAAGACAGTGAGGGCGTGCTGTGAGGGCTGGGGTGGACCACGCTGCGCTGAGGGTGAGGACAAGAAACAAATCACTTGTGGAATATAACAGTACATTAGGTTTATAAAACACCTCATATTTAATGATGAGTGGGAAATATAAATGAAACCATGACCTACAAGTCATTAAAAAAACAATCTGAACTTTTGTACAGTGTGAAACTTAGAAAACAAACTGTCATATTATTTCAAAAGGGGGAGACAGAAGAATCAAGTAAAGATAATATTTAATACAGAATATGAGTCAACAGATTAACAGATGATTTGTACTGACTAAGATTTAACAGAAGTCTTTAGCGCTTGGACACTAGAGGGAGATATTTTGTGATTGAGGGACATCTGAGCGGCAGCAAGATTAATCCCCCCATGGAGTCCAGACACTGGTGGTGGTGGTGCTGGCTGATGGCTCTGAGGCTGATGAATCCATAAAGACTAGTTGGTGATGGGGAGGTGGAGGGCGTGCATAACTGGAGAAAGAAAGAACTACAGCAGAGAAAGAACCATATTTAAAATGGCGCCATGTCATTGGTCCGACAGCCCATTGGTCTGACATCCCATTAGTCCGACGTCCCGTTGTTCCGATATGTGATTATACTAGGCTATTCTGTATCTGTGTACCATAGAGGATCAGCAAACGCAACAAAAGTAGGCTACTGGTTGAGATACAAGTCATAAAGAGGAGAGAATAAAACACCATAACCTCCTGTTGTTGACTCTGGGGTCCGGGTTGTGCGGAGAGCTTTCCGCGATGCTGAACGGCTCCCAGTGGGCATATTTCTGCCTTGATGGTGCACCGCGACCGGCTCTGGGTCAGCTGGGAAAGGCTTGAGGCGGAGCAGGCTCACGGCTTATGTGTTTGTCACTTTCTTTTTCATTTTAACCCACACCATGATCTTTTCCTGACCCTAACCAAGTGATTTTTGTGCCTAAACCTAACCAGACCTTAACCACAGGGCATCATGATGATTTTGGAACAACGGGACTTCGGAACAATGGGTTTTATATGGTAGGAACAATGGGATGTCGGACCAATGGATTGTCGGAATAATGGGCTGTCGGACCAATGGGCAGACCCCATTTAAAATGAGGAGCAGTAAGATGATAGGCTGACAGAGAAGGCATGTTGCTGTGCTATTGGTTGATTGTGAATAAGCTGATGACTCAATGGAGTCAGGGGCCTCAAATGCAGATAGTCCAGGCAGACAAAAGTGAAGATACAGAAGCTTACTGGTGTGGGTTCAAAGTTCAAACAGATGTGAGAGAGAGAGTTCATTAGTAAACAGGAATGTGTCAGGAAAATAGTGCAGGTAGGCAAAAACACTGAATTAAAATATACACTTTTGTATTTGCTCCCATTTTTCATGAGCTGAAATAAAAGAGCAAATTTTTTTTTGTGTGCACAAAAGGCTTATTTCTCTCAAATTTTGTTGACAACTTTGTTTAAAGCCATATTAGTGAGCACTTTGCCAACATAACCCATCCGCCTGACAGGTGTGGCATATGAAAATGCTGATTAAACAGCATCATTACCACACAGGTGCACCTTGTCCTGAAATTCTCTGGTTGCAACTGTTGCATCACCTTTTATGGTGGCCAGCATTAGGAAATTTTGCATGTGAAGAAGCCGGATGTTGATGTCCTAAGCTGATGTGGTAACACATGGTCTGCAGTTCTCAGGACGGTTGGATGTACTGCCAAACTCTTGGAAACAACATTAGAGATTACTTATGATAGTGAAACGAACATTCAGTTCACAGGCAACAACACAGGCAATAACTGTGACCATCCCAAGTCTGTAGTTTTCCAATTACTCAAAGCGTTTTACACTACATATCACATTCACCCATTCACACACTGGTGGCTAGGGCTACCATACATGGTGCCACCTGCTTCTCGGTAACCATTGACCTGCACTCACACAATGATGGAACAGCCTTTGGGAGCAATTTGGGGTTCAGTATCTAGCCCAAGGATGCTTCGAGATGTGGCTGGAGGAGTCAGGGATCAAACTGCTGATCCTCTGATTGGTAGATGACCTGCTCTACCTCTGAGCCACAGCTTTCCCCACCTCCAGAAAGTGTTCTTCTGTTGACTGTAGATTCAGATTCCAGGTCAGAGTTACTGGTTACAGGGACAGTGGCAGTTTCTGGATTCAGGTGCAGGTGCAGGTAGAGATGACTGGAAATCAAGGCATAAAGCACCTCCGACGGTATCTCATTTATTTTAAAGATCTAAGGACAGTGCCTGTTCTCTAATGTTTTTTTCATTCCCCTGTCTCTTAACCCTTTTCCTGTCTATTTACTTCCTTCATTTTGTTTCTTACCTTTTCTCTCAGTCCTCTTTCTCCCAGGTGTGGGCGTGCGTGGCCAGTGTTACTCCACATGGAGTTGTGAGGAGTTCCCTGGGGTTCATAACTCCTCTCTCATGCCCATGGAGCAGTGCTGCAGCAGCCTGTGGGGGCTGAGCTGGAGGAACGCATCTGACCAGACCTGCTTGTCTTGCACCTACACTCTTCTTCCTGGTCAGAGAGCATCCACGCACATCTGCACACAAATGCATACACACATACTGAACCTATACTGTTGAATACTGCTGTTCAAATTTTCTTGAATTCCCTCAAACTCTCTCCAGACTCCCAGTCCTCCCCTCTGGTGCGTGGTGGTCTCCTGGGTAGTGTCAGGGTGCCTCAGAGCTCAGCCACCTGCATGTCCTGGGGCGGAGCTCACTACCGCACTTTTGACAGGAAGCACTTCCATTTCCAGGGCAGCTGCACTTACCTGCTGGCGTCATCTACTGACGGCACCTGGGCAGTCTACATCAGCACAGTGTGTGACGCGAGAGGAGTATGCAGTAAGGTGTGAAACATGGATTCCACTGTTGAATTATTAGCGGCATAGTCTTTTCCCAGTAATAGCCACCATCAGTTAGTGTACATGACCAGTGATATGTAGGCATATAACTTGTTTTGTGTGTATATACATACATGTTAATGTGTCTGTGGCCCTCTGGTTTCAGGCTCTGAAGATGATGCTGGGTCTGGATTTGGTTTCAATTCATCACAAGAACTTAACGCTGAACAACCTCACCATTCCAAATGGAGAACCGCTCTTCCAAAATGGTAAACTATTTTCAGTTGTCAGTAAAGTTCTGTCTTAGTGCCATTTCTTGTCTGATATTGTCAATGAGGCATGACACATTGTTAGGTTATTTGCACTGAATCATCGGAGCCAAGTGTACTTACAACATTGTACTTCTTAATAAATTGATATCTTAATTTTAATTTCTTATTGCACAACTTTTGGGGAAGATGGGCCAGTAGATCTAGGTCTGTACATGTGTGTTGCATCTACAGAAAATAAATATCTAATCTCAATAAACAGATATCTGCAAATGCACGCATGCAGAATCAGTAGGCAAGCGTACAAGGTTTCGGTATCGTAAGTGTGTTTAAGTGGCAGGTAAACAGTCTGTGTGGAAAGCAATGCAGAACACATCGGCCAAAAGACAGTCTCTGAACCCATCGGATATCCAACGACAACTTAACTTTATAGCAATTTTTTGTTGAAAAATGTATCCGCTTTCAGATAGAGGTATGCAGATGTGTTCATAGAGACTAGAGATTAACCGAAATGACCAGCCCATGGAAGAAGAGGTCTTGGCCTGGATATTTGCTTGCTACACCAGAACTCTGGCAATATTGGCAGTTGCCCCCAGAAGCTTATCGTCCACTGGCTTATCTAACAAATAACATTAGAGAGTACCTCATCTATTCAAGAGTACAATTTGTCTTTATAGAAAACATATCTGTTTGTGTCAAATTTACAAACATTTTGGGTGAATGTATTGGCAGTCATGCCCTGCACTTTTACACCATCTCCTGATTCCTCTTGAGTACATATCAATTGACTAAGTAATGTTTGGATGGATGGATGTACCGCCACTAGAAATACTATTCACTGACCTTACAAAACTTAAATGCTGTTGATCAACAATGTTGCACAGCAAAGTAGAAACTTGCAACGACAAAAAACATTTTTAAATTTCTTACAGGAGTGAGTGTTCATTGGCTGGGAGACTTTGTGTTCGTGGAGAGCGGACTGGGGGTGAGGGTGAAGTTTGACCTGACCAACACCGTCTACCTGACAGTGACTGCTGAGCACCTGGCAGCCACCAGGGGGCTCTGTGGAGTCTACAACAACAATGCTGACGGTGCGGAAAGTGCAACTGCTGCAGTAGATGCATACATACAAACACACTCAAGAGTGACAATGTAGTGTGTTTTTACTGTCGCTGACCCAGGGTTATATGTTCCTAATTTTGTCTTGATTTCACTCAGCTAACCCTGACTCTAAGTTTTAATATTCAAACATCTTTGCAGTGCATGTGTAACCTATTTGTATCTTGGTGCTACAGATGATTTCACCACAATGGGTGGAACTGTGTCCCAGTACGCCGCCAGCTTCGGCAACTCCTGGAAAGTTCCTGACCAGCAGAATGAAGTACTGCACTGAATGCAATGAATGAGTATTTCACTTTATTTGCACCATTGTAGCTCTTTGTTCATTTTTTTCATGAGACATGATGTGAATGCTGAGTTCTGTGATGTTTCTATTGCATTCAGTGTGTCTACGAGATGCATCCTTGGTAACTGAGCCTCTCTGTGTCCCACGCTTCCCTCAGGGCTGCAGCGACGCAGCTGAGCTCGGTCACAGCTGTGATGTATCAGGAGACCCTGCCCTACGCAGGCAGGCAGAGTCAGCGTGTCACCGACTGCTGGAAAACCCCTTCACACACTGCCACCTCCGGGTCAGACACCCCTGATACTTATCAGAGTCACACAGCATAACCAATGTTTGCTAACTCTTTGTTTGTAAGTCCACAGTCCTGGTGGATATAATCAGATGCCTCAAGTGAATTTCTTTTAAGTCTGTTATCAGCTGTAAATCAAAATGCTCCTGGAAGTAAATCATTTACAAGGTGTCAGTTATTAGAGCAGAATTATTTAGAAAGATGCAAGCAATGGGACTGTGTTAAACACTGTCCTTAAGTGTACTGGCTACATGGAAAACACTCTTGCAGAAATAAGTACTAGTTTTAGTTCAGGCTTCACTTGGCATTGCCTAGAAAACATTTTGAAATCTCTCCGGCCTTATCTGACACTAAATTAATGAACAAATGTGATACAATTCTGGTTAATAATTTATGAATTAAGATATGGCTATATCTATTACCTAACTCTCTCTGGCTTTATGTGTCACCCTTCACTACACTCCTTATTCATATAATAACATATTGCAGTGCATAATTCGCATGTTTGCATGTCCTATTTATTTATTTTTTGCAAAGATTTTCCCTAATACCTGTCAATACTGTGTATCTGTGTTGACTGGAGGAGCAGTGTGCAACATTCAGAGCAAAAGCTTTGCTCTGTAAAGACAGAGGAGTAATGGCGTTCTCAGCAAAGAATGAAGTCACACTGCCTCTGTGTGTGTTGTAGTCCGAGCTTCTCTGTTTTTTGTTGTGGTAGCCAGTCCGGCCACACGTCCATGTTAGTGCATGCGAGTCCCTCAGTGTGTGTCTCAAATTGCATACTTCTGTACTAAACTCTTAATATTTTGCGTGCGCTAAGTGTGTTCACACTGCATAGTATTGGAAGATGCAGTGTACTACTGGTGGACTCAAAACGCTCCAAAAGTTGAGTACAGAATGACGGACATTTCTCACCCTCAGTGGTTGCCATCTTTGTGACGTAGCAAACTTCTTAACTTGTGACATGGCGGCTGGAGACAACAAGGAGCCTGTTCGTTACATATGTTTTCTGCATTAAGTATCCATACTGTTGTCGAATAGAAGCCGTCAGTAATGTTTGTTGGGTCTGTAATGATTTCGTACCGTGGACAATAATGCGAGTGTTAACATTTGCTAGCTAGCTAACTTGCTCCTAGCTACAGCAACACATTTTAATCAGTATTGATGTTGTGGTGTAAGTTTGGTTTCTGTGTGGACAAAGATAGCGGTCAGATGTCAGCGATAATGCTCCATCGGCCATTTGCAATTCGCCATTTAAAAGAAGACAACGAAGAAGAAGAGGCGGTAAAAATAAAAAAGCTGTCGTCACTTTCGGTAAGTGCAGAACGGCAGTGTGCGATTTGAGACAACACTACCCTGTTGAAATGAGTGCATCACACAAGAGGAATGTAGTGTACATAGTGTACTAAATTGACGAGTACTAAAGGAAGTACGCAATTTGAGATACAATCTGGCTAGCTACTCGCCACTCTGCACTCTGCTCATACAACGGTTACCACCCACCTTCCAGACCCCCTCCACATTAACATTGTTAGCTCTGGTAGTACTGTTGCTATTGTGTTAGCACTGCCAAAGTTGTTAACACCACTCACGCTGTTAGCACAGTTAGCTGCTAGCCGCCTGCGCAGCCACCTCCGCGTTAAGAGCTGTGTGCAGGCAATACCGGCTCAGACTCTAACTCATAGATATGGTCTGAATGTTGCCTACAGCTTCTTTAAACTCACTATGTGCAGTTTTCGTACATTTCTGACTCCTGTGGAGTCAAACTGTGTACTGCTGAGTAATCCAGATGTGATAACTTTGTGTCTTTGTGTCTTTCAGTTGGACCCAGCAGTGCACATAGACACTTGTCTCTACCTGTACTGTAGCCTACCACCCAAAGAGAGAGATTCAGCAGTGTGTGACACCCTGGCCAGCTATGCCCGAGAGTGTGCCCAGCAACATGTCGTCATACTGTGGAGGACAGCCACCCTATGTGGTAATAGAGCAATTTTAGTGTCATGTTGACTGTGGAGCAGGATTGTAAAACACACATGATGCAAAGCCACCAGTATCATCCTTTGACTTTGTTTCATCCTCTCTGTCTCTGTCTCTCCAGGCCGTGTCTGTCCCAGAGGTCAGGTGTTCTCAGACTGCGTGTCCTCCTGTCCCCCCAGCTGTGCGTCTCCCCAGCCCCCTGGTCTTGCTGCAGCCATGGGCCAGTGCAGGGAGGAGTGTGTGGGGGGCTGTGAGTGTCCGCCAGGCCTCTACCTTCACCAGGGACTCTGTCTGAAAAGAGATGATTGTCCTTGTTTTCACCGCAGGCGCACCTATCAGTCAGGGGACAGGATACAGCAGAGATGCAACACATGGTAAAGGAAAACTGTTTGTGTCTCTCCTAAGTCCCTTTGTCCTCTGTATGTCTCTGCCACCTATTCACACTCTTTCTTTATCTCCATCCTTCTTTTTAAACTCTTTATCCTCCCAGTGTGTGCAGAGCAGGCCAGTGGCAGTGTACTGGGGAGAAGTGCGCAGCCCAGTGCAGCCTGATGGGGGCGCTACAGGTGACAACCTTTGACAAAAAGAGGTATTCACTACAAGGAGGAGACTGTCCCTTCACTGCTGTGGAGGTGAGATACATGCAACCATGCACAAAGTTATTTACACTCTAAGATGTATTCGTGTGTGTGGCAGCCTCTTCTCCTTTGTGCTTATGTTCTGTGTGTTAAGGACTTTGTTGACAGGAAGCTGGTGGTGAGTGTGCGCTGTGGGGAGTGTACAGCAGGAGGAGGAGGAGGTTGTCTAAGGGAGATGTCAGTCACAGCGCTCCGCACCACAGTCACCATCACAGACACTGGTGAGTCACAAAGTGATTTAAAGTATTTTTTTAATTGAATATTGACTTGTGTCATGCTGTAAGTCGCTCCCTTTTGGTCTTCCTCTCAAATGTATCCACAAACTTGAGCTGGTCCAGAACTCTGTCCCTCGCATCATCACCAGAACCCCCTCCATCGTTCACATCACTCTCTTTGCAGTTCCTTTGTGTCTCTTTGTGGTCATTTTCAGTCTCTTCCTGGTTGGTACATGTTAATTTGAATGACATTTTGCAAGTAAAGGTCCCTGACACTTTCAGCCACTGGGCCTGTGCCCGGTAGACCCATTCAGTAATCCATCCATGCCTGTGGGAACTCTTTATGTTCAATATTCACTGCTCTCTAATTGCGAACAATTGGTATTGTCCCTACCAGGTACAGTGACACTGAATGGCCTGAGGGAGCCGTTGCCTGTGGTGACGGGGGACCTGGTTGTGCGTAGGGCCTCGTCTTCATTTCTCCTCATCCAGACTTTTGGAGCCCAGCTGCTCTGGCACCTTGACGGACCGTTGGCTCTCATCACCCTGCAACCCGGCTTCGCAAATAAGGTGACCGTCACACCTCATGTGGTTCTCTCTCGGATCACCTGCAGAACTTGCTCATGTGCCATTTTGAATAGTTTGTTTGAGCTAAAAAGTGTAAATGCTGTATTCAAGGTGCGCGGCCTTTGTGGAACTCTGACCTGGAACCAGCATGATGACTTTACCACCCCAGACGGAGATGTGGAGAATAGTGTGTCATTGTTTGCAAGCAAATTCACAACAGAGCACTGTACTATCCCTAAAGGAGCTCCACCCGACCCCTGCACCACGTACACCCAGAGGAGACAGTACGCAGAGACAGTGTGCTCCGTCATACACAGCCCCGTCTTTCAGGTAGCTTGCATGTAGTGTGTGAAATTCCCTTCATCTTTGTCTCCTTGTACTTTATTCACACATGCACCTCCCTCTCTGACTTTGTAGGGGTGTCATGACGTGGTGGAGAGGGAGCCCTATTTCCGTCTCTGTCTGTCAGAGGTTTGTGGCTGTGCTCCACAGAGGGCCTGTCACTGCACCATCCTCACTGCCTACGCCCGACACTGCGCTCAGGAGGGTGCTGCCGTCCACTGGCGCAATCACACCTTCTGCCGTAAGTGGGGGGGGGGCCATTGCCTAAGTGGTGTTTCACAATATTGATGTCCGAGTTTGTTGAAATGTTCAGAGTAATAGTCACCAAATCCCAAACTGTACAAAGGTATTAAGCCGTTTAAAATCTTGTGTCCTCTTCTGTCTTCTCAGCGGTCCAGTGTTCAGGGGGTCAGGTGTACCAGGAATGTGGTCGTGCCTGTGGCAGCTCCTGTTCAGACAGTAGCAGCTGCGATGACGGTGGTGATGTAATGGGCCTTAGGATGTGTGTTCCAGGTTGCCAGTGCCCTCCAGGACTAGTGCAGGACCACCAGGGCCAGTGTGTGCCTGTCACTATGTGCCCCTGTGTGCAAGGAGACAAGACGTACAAGCCCGGGACCGTTATTCAGAACAACTGTAATACCTGGTAAGTAGTCGGGAACAACTTGAGGCTGGCTTTTCACAAATTTGTCTAAGTCAGGTGCTCCCTATACTCAACTTATTATTGTTTTTGTACACAATTTCCTCTTGAACATTTTGACTTTTTGACATAATGCTGCGCAGCAACCACTCAGACAACTGTCTACATGCAAGGGCGTTCCCTAATGCGTGATTTATACTTTTGCTTCTGTATCTACTGCGTAGGCTCTGCATCAATGTAGACCCTAAGCCATAGCCTGTCATGCACCTCCCCAGAAATGTAACTACACATCACGGTGACGCAGGCCTCCTGTCTATTTTGTAAACTGAAACCATTTTCCTCAGTGGAAACAAAGCTTTTATTTACTTTAATGTCACAGATAAGAACAGACAAAAAAGACAAAGACAAAAAAGCCTCCACTAAAATAGCATTTTAAGTCAGCTTCATATAAACAGAGGAAATCTTCGCTTGTCGCTAGGCTAATTTATACAATGTAGAATGCCATAGGCTTGTGCTAATAATGTTAGCATGTTACATTTGTTTGGAAAACGTGTTTAGTATAAGACACTTGTTTAGTCGGTGGACCTTATGAGTGCCAATATAGCCGAATTTTGTAACGTTACCTTTGTTAAATGTTGCTGTTGTCCCTGGCTTCATATGAGTAGAGGAAAAGTCCGCTAGCTGCTAAGCTAATTTATACAATGTAAAATGCCATAGGCTTGTGCTAATAACCTTAGCATGTTGTATTTGTGGAGAAAATGTGTCCAGATAAAGACAAGTGTTTGTCTGTGAATGCTGCGAGTTGTAGTGAAGCTGATTTTTGTACTTGTGTTTATTATCTCTACTAAGCCATGTTTAATTTGTGTGTAATGTGTGTTTAACATGTGTTTAATGTGTGTTTTGAATCAACTGAACTTGACAGCACTCCGCACAACTCCATAGCTGTTGAGTGTTTTGGGGGTGTAACTGCAGTGACACTGACACACCACCGCAAAAGTATAAATGCTCACAACGGTGTAGGCCATGGCGTAGGCTACAACGTAGGGTCTGCTACACAAATATAAATCCCCCTCAAGACAGCGAAGCGTTTTTAAAAATGGTTGCTGCTGCTATGGTTCAGCAGTGACAGGCAGGTGTACTTTGGCAAACGTCATTAATAGAAGTGCAAGCTAGCTTGGTGCCATGTTAATATATACTGTAGCAAGACAACAGAAATCACTCAGATTCCCTCTGTGTATTCAGACACGAACACTACCAGCTCCTCCATCTTGTCTTCTTTCTGCCTCTGCTCCCATCCCCTTCTAATCAATCAGCCAAAGCCAGGCATCTACCACCAGTGGTTTAACACGGTGAACTTTGCGCAGCATAGCGAAATCTATGCACATTCACGAGGGAGGCAACCGCTTCATATTCCTACAGCCGTGTTTGAAACCACTTCCTCTCTACCACCTTCCCCTCACTGAAATGACTGGAGGTTGTGAGTTGCGACGCAGTGGTGTAAGAGCAGCTTATGTTTTAAGTTTTGAATCACATTTTGCTGGAAATATGATCCGGTGGTGTTGGAACATTCAAAGATAAAAGGCCAGACTCAAAAACTAGTATACCAAACCACAACTGCTTAGATCACCTCATTTCACAGAACCTTGTTTGATCCTTAATGGCAGAATGTCAGTCAGGTTCATGCAGTAATCATGCAGTTAAGGACACCAAACATACTGAACCTGTTACAAGGAAACATCATAGCAGAGGTTAGTTTAGTACAAGCTCTTGTTGACCCACTTGCATACATTATATTTTTACAGCACGCCATAAAAAAACAGCTCTTTGTCTTTTATCTGCTGGCTGCTTTTATCACGTGGTAGTTGTGATAAAGAATCAGAGAGCGTAAGCATGTTTCCTTCATTGTCAGTGGAGCACAGCTTTGATGGAGCTACAATATAACATTGGCACACTTTGGTACTTTGGAGCGAGCTTTGATCCCATGGGGTGACTTAATCTACTCAGATCAAGAGCTGATAAAGTCTTCACTCCCTGGAATAAAGAGTTTTATTGAAGATTATATAAAGTCTGCTATGCACGTCTGTCACTGTTTGCCTTTGAGGATAAGGTTAGGAGTCACTATGTGTTTGTGTATTATAGTTTCATAAAAATATATGATAAATGATCATTTTTTGATTATGATTTTTTGGATTTGATTGCCTTAGGAGGTATTTTCTTGGTGTTTTTACAGAAAAATCTAATACTATAATCACACAAACGTCTACACTTGAGTCCCGTTTCCACCAAAAACCTGCGGTATAGTACCTTTAGAACCAAAGTAACCCATACAGACATGTACCTAGACCGTAGAACAGTTTAGCATTTCAGACAATACTCTTAAATGTGGGCGGGGTTGATGTCACCACTGCTCCGTCCAGGTTTCGTTGTATACCCTCTTCGTCTGCACCTTGTCTATTGTCCACAGAACTGAGGTTGCATGGCGACATTTTCAAAACATACAAAGAAAGACTAACGTTACATACGTCATCTCCTATGCCTTGTGGATGTGAGTAATAATGGGTGAATCATTTATAGGAGTCCGAACCTTTTATACATCCACCTTAAAAGTTGGCGGTAGCTGCCAGCAGTTGGTGCAATGAATTCAATTTTTTTTCTCAGTCTACAGCCCCTTTTACACTGACAGATTTTCTGCGAATGTTGGGCCGTTTTACCAGCAAGCTGCAAGCGTTTAGACACACAGAGCTGGATTGGCGAGTTGATCCGAGGTGCCCAATTTTCCTCCTCGTAGAGTAGACATATTGGCGGAACACTTTTGGTTTAAACAGACCAAGGTGCCCTTCCGCAACGGGAGGGGCTGTTGAAGATTTGTGGAAGGAGCTGTTGATGACGCCGCACGTGCGAGCCACTGGTGGTGGATAAACAGGAAACAGCTGATAGCAGGAATTAGCGAGCAGCTAGTAGCAAGAGGGAAACACAAACCTGACAGACACTGTAAAGATGAGCAACTGGGGAGACAAGGAATTGCGCGCCCTCCTTGTTCTCGCAAACAAAGAGGCCATTAACGTCAGATGACAGGAGCGGTGAAGAACGGGCTGACTTATGAGAGAATCGCTGAAGGACTGACCAGCCGCGGCTTCCCTCCCACGTCACTGTTTACGTCACATGCTGAGCTACACGTTATGTTACTTGCTCACGCCCCCCATTGCCCCGAAAAAGGCGCATTCTGTATGAACAAAAGTAGGTAATGCCAATGCTGAACGAAGACTGATTGGGCTTTCCTGCAAATTTGCACAATTCCTATCTAAACAGGGCTTATAGCTGCTGCTAAAGGCAGCAAATTATCCTTTCTTTTTATAGTTGTAGTTGGCTAATGTATTAAAAACTTGCTGGTATGAACAGTGGTTACGTAACTGGCAAAATGAGCCACAACTCAACCCCAAGCAAGCTTGAAGATTATCTATTGACCAATCAACGGACTGCAGTGTTTCTAGCTCCACCTTTTAGTACAAGATCAGTGGGCTAGGTACCCCAACAGAGGGGGGACCAAAAACCGGGACAGTACGGAATGGTTCCATTGGTACCATCCACAAATTTTCATAATGGCAACAGAATAATAACGTGTACCAAACTTGACAGAATTGAACCAGACTGCTTGATAGAAACGAGGCTTTGGTGGCTCTAAGCTGAACCCCTACTTGCAATGAGCGCATATGAGTCAATGACTGAAACTGCAAACTGTATGCATATGACAGCACATTATCCAACCGTCAGTCCCTGGTGGTGCAAGAGCTCTGATGAAATCACTCTATGTTCCTGCTCCATAATACAGGATAGGTTGATTTCATCGTGTCTCTTCATCACATAACCACAGTCATCATCACTGTCTGGGTCTGAGTCATCTCTTAATCACTGAGTCAGAGCAGTAGTACTAGAAATCTACAGATAGATTTGTTTCTCTCTGGGTTGCACGTTTGCATTGTGTCAAAACTGCTGAGATGTGTCCTTCCACTGATCATTAACCCGATGGACTGCTATGAAGAAATGAAAATTGGATCGAACGGTCATTACGCTGTTATAAAATGTGACGTACAATGCATCCATTCACCTTGACATGATAAGCCTTGATTGAGGAAACAAGTGAAATGATTTTCATGACACCTCATAGAACATTTTGTTGCCTCTCTGTTACATTTTACAGCTACCGTTTACAGTTTAGTAACAGTGACTGGAACTTTATTGATCCGAAGTAAACTCTCTGAGGACAGCAAGGAGACTCTAGTTCTGCACCTGCTGGGCCAACTTGCCTCCACTTGGTCGCAGTTATTCCTCTTTGTGTAATTTCCTCTTGGTGTTTTTTGCTGAACATAGAAAATAAACTCCTTTTAGTCGACGTCAGTTCTGATTCTGCTCCCTCTCGTCTCCCTTCACAGTGTGTGTGAGCGGGGGCTGTTTAACTGCACTCAGGAACACTGTGAGGAGGTCAACCAGTGTCCAGGCTCTCTGGTCTACTCTCCACGCTCCTGCCTCCTCACCTGCTCCAGCCTGGACCCTCCTGGCCAACAGCAGGGGTCCAGTGTCGCCCAGTCGAGCTGCAGGGAGCCCCTGTCTGGCTGTGTCTGTCCCCAGGGAACTGTGCTACTAGTGGGTGAAATCTCTAATTTAGTTTCCTGAGTGGACATGGGATAAAGGATATGTTTTAGAAATGTGAAATGTCAAGAGTACAGACCTTTGTCACAGCAGACATTTTGACCCGTCATGGTAGGTAAAGCACAGGTGTAGTTACTGGTTATATCATCATGACTCTGTTCCATATCGGTTTAGTGCAGATACACTGTGCGAAATGGATGTAATAACCTTGGGTATGACATCAAGTTCGATGTCTGCAGACTGAACGATGACAGCGCGTACTGAATCTCAGGCTCTGACGTACGATGCAATAGCTTCCCATACTGAGTGTGTGCAAGGATACTGTACGGGTTATTACTTCTCCAACTGTGAAGCATAGAGGGTCACATTATTTGATAGCTGCTAGGTTGCTCACCTGGCAGCTGCAACTCCGCGGCTATTTCTTTCCACGCTTCGTCCTTCTTTATGCGACCATGTTCAGAGCAGGAGGACATCATACAGACTTCTGCTGCCATAACTTGACAAGGTTTACGTCTTTGCCCAAATCCCACACATTTCTTTTAGCGCGTTTTGCCTCCATGACGGGCTGCTATCCGTCTGTTAGTTGGGTTTAGCGCCACTGCAGTGCAGACTCCATTTCCATTGGTTGGTTAGTAGACAGGTTAGGTCGTAACAGCAGTCACACAGTAGCTATGTTTCCATCCAAAAGTGATTCGAATCATTGGGAAATAAGCATTAAAAGAAATACGAATCCTGTGTGTTTCCATTAAATGTACAGACTTCGGTGAAAACTACTACCTTGCGCGAGTTTTCCGCAGAACCGGAAACAAAACAAGTCTCTCATTCTTCTTCTTCTACGTTTTCTGGCGGTTTGCAACCAGCTTGTAAATGCATTACCGCCTTCCCGACCGGAGTGTGGATATCACCATGGAGAGAGGTGTGCTACGTTAGTTTAGTTTAGTTTTAGTTGCGAATCAACATTTTTTCGAATCAACCAAAACCCAGCTAAAGCGAGCGTATTTTAGTTTGTGTGAATCAGGGGATTTTAATTTGAATTTTGGCGTTTCCATCATAATTTTCCGATGCGATACTTGATGCGCATCTAAACAGGCTGATGGAAACATGGCTAATGAGATGGTCATCTCAAATATATGATACTGTCAGAATTTTATCCCAGGCTTTCTTTGATTGCAAGACCGTGACAATGGCCATCCTTGAACCTCTGTCAATGTGTGACACAGGACATCCATTTTAGAGCCATGACCAAAGACATTGGGGACATTATTGTCTGGGAAGGCCCAAAATCACACCGTGTATACTGGGCTTAAGCCGGTGTACAATAAGCCAGAATATGCACAATACCAGGAACCTACATAATGGTAAAGCTACAGCTAAATATCTTCCATAATGAACTAATCGTTTGGTCATTAGGTCAAACTTTCATTCATTAATGTTTTTGGCCACTTTGGCCACAGAGAGGACAACAAACCGAAACAGACAGTTGCTTATTTAGCTACACAACAAACACAGGGATATATTTGCATCAATTTGGGTTCCTGTTGCTCCAATATTTACTCTTCTTATAGCTCAGTTTTGGTCTTAACTACTCCAGAGGTCAATATCTGGCTTTTCACATATAGCTGTAAAATGCTATGCTAGCTAACGTTAGCTAACTTAATTGCTAGCTGCCTGTTTGACATTTGGCCGTGAACCTGGTAAGTTAAGTTGATAGTATATTTATTTTAACATTTTAGATCAAAACAGCTGCCAGGCTGGAAATTATGTCAGTAGAGCTGTGAAACTGAATCAAGTTGCGCGTATAAAGCCAAAACAATGAGCTAACAGATGCTAAGACTGAGGTGTTAGATGCTAACGTGCTCACGTTAGCTAGCAAGAGTTGGTGGCCTAGCTTAATTCTCTGTGGGTACGTCTTTTCATTTAATTAACTGTTGTAATCTAATTTTTTTAGTGTTATGTTATAACAGGAAGTAATAAGTGAAAGGTGTATTTTGGATGTTTCTTTTACTTTCATTGAGCTGGGCTAGCAGCTTCTTCCTGCTAGCCTGTGCTAAGGTTTAACATGGCCCAGAACTTTCGTCCAACTGAATACACAGGCTGCTCCTTCACGAGGTTTTTTACTAGGTTAAAAATAAAATACTGTCTAGTATTGTGGCTTTAGTATCAATGCTACCCTTCTCCACTTTTTACTGGTCAAATTGGCCTTTATTTCTCATAAAAAAGTGTCATTAAATCTTACTGTTGTGAAAGGGGTTTTTCATGCTGCCAAAATGGTACTATTACAGCCAAGAAGACACATTTTTTAAAGATATTTTAGGGCTTTTTTGCCTTTAATTGATAGGACAGATGTTTTAGTGTGACTTGCAGCAAAGGACCATAGGTTGGGATCTAATCCTTGACCCCTGCGGCAAAGAGAAAGCCTTTGTACATGGGGCGCCTGCGCTAGGTGAGCGAATGGGCGCCCTCAAAGTGACACCTTTTAAGGGGATTTAAATTGATCAGTTTATCTCAACTTTAATCCAATCCCAGTCAAGTTAATCTATAAAGCACATTTAAAAACTACACCAGTCAATCAGAGCGCTGTAAAGTCAAAAAATATTAAAACCTATTAAACCAACACAGGTTAACAAAGAGACCATTTAAGTACAGACACAAAGAGCAATTTAAAAGACAAAGGACAGTAGAAAAGCAACACTCACAATTTAACCATTGAATGTATTAGGAAACAGCAGAGTTAATTGCTGATTGATTAGGTAGAAACACCCATTGTTAGCACCTGATGTAGCTGGGTTTTACAGTACATTATGTCCTCTCTGGTTTACCTCAGGGTGATCGCTGTGTTCTGCCAGATGAGTGCCCATGTCACCACAATGGTCAACTTTACTACGGCAACGACACCATCACCAAAGACTGCAACACATGGTAATGTATGCAACTGTCTCATTGCATTTCATCCCTTTAACATTTAAATTCTCAACCATACTTCATTCATTCCTGCAGCGTGTGTAAGGAGCGCCGCTGGCACTGCACCCAGTCCGCCTGTGCCGGTGTGTGCGTGGCCACTGGTGACCCACACTATGTGACATTAGACGGCCGCTGCTACTCCTTCCTGGGAGACTGTCAATACGTGCTGGCGAGGGAGACCAGCGGTTTATTCAGTGTAACTGCGGAGAATGTGCCGTGCGGGAGCACCGGGGTCACCTGTACAAAGTCGGTCACCCTCAGCCTGGGAAATACTGTCATACATCTGCTGAGAGGTAGGAGAGATGGTGTTAAAGAAGAAGCAGAGACTGATTAGGATCAATAGGCACCACAGACAGTATTCTAGAAGATAGCTGCTCAGGTTAAGCTGTTTTGTCTCTTCATTAGGTAAAGCTGTGACAGTAAATGGGATGCCAGTTAGTCTACCAAAGTCTTACAGTGGCAGCGGTCTGACTTTGGAAAGAGCCGGCCTGTTTGTCTCCCTTTCATCTCGACTGGGGGTCACTCTGCTATGGGACGGAGGTAGGACACGCTCACATCAACTTCTGCAACCTTAATTGATCTCCCACTCAACCCTTTCATGTGTCAGTGCTAATGTTGTTGTCATTCCCCATGTTATCTCCAGGTATGCGTGTGTATGTGCGTCTGGCGGCCCACTTGCGTGGACGGGTCGGGGGCCTGTGTGGTAACTTTGATGGGGACACAGAGAATGACTTTACGACACGGCAGGGCATTGTGGAGTCTACGGCCGAGCTGTTTGGGAATTCCTGGAAGGTCAGCCCTTCCTGCCCTGATGTGGCAGACCAGGACCTCCGAGACCCCTGTGCTGTGAGTTCAATGCAGACACATGCACATTTGTGAAATCCAGTCATGATGATAAACTATCTTTTGCTCTCCCTTTCTCAGACACCCACATGCAAAGCAAACCAACTTCTCTCTTTGTGTTGTTCAGCTGAACCCCCACAGGATGACCTGGGCCAGGAAGAAGTGCGCAGTTCTGACTCAGGAGCTCTTCTCTCGCTGCCACCCTGAGGTGCCCTTCCAGCAGTACTATGACTGGTGTGTCTTTGATGCTTGTGGGTGAGTGACCGCGCTGCGAATTGAATTCTTAAAAGAAAAGAAATGTCGTCTACTATGTGCTTTATACGACAAGATGCTTCAGAGGGAAAGAAATGACTTTATTTCTCAGCATTTTTTGCCCAGTGCACTGATTTAACAGGTATTCTTCAAAGCTCTCAGGACATTGCAACACGTGTATGTCCACTAATGTACAACATTTTGCTACCATCTCATGAGATTGTTGTGTGTAGCAGGCTGTATCACTAAACTTCATTCTATACATTCAGTGTTGTAGCATAAACAAGACTTTAAAAAAGTGAGGCCTAGACATGGAGTTGCACATTTGAGGGTTCGCTCGCGAGAGAGCCAAATAATTAGCACATCATGACAATTTGTGGTGTCTGACAAACAAACAGTATCAGCTGACACACCTACAGCTTTCCAATACACATTAAAAGATGTTTCCTGTCCCATTAGTACTGGTTTCCTGTTATTCAGACAATCAGCTCAGAGAACAATTGCTTCTCTTTACATAAGCAGATTTGGCCTGAATCAGCGCCAGATCGTAAAACTGAAGTCACGTCAGGATAATAAGTTTATGCCAGGGTTATGGACACTATATTAGCTTCTCTCACAAAAATAAGCTGCAAATAGGGGTCCCCTCTCAATAAACTCTACTGTGTGTACATGACACACTACTAATAACTGCTCAAAAGATCACACGACATTGCATCTCCTTGGGTCCTCAGCAATACATCTGCCTAGTGTGAAGTCGATCAGATGAACAGTTGTGGAGAAAGTTAAACAACAGATAGAGAGAGACTCCTTCCATTTTGGCTACATATTGGTATGTGGTCCACAAACAAGCAGAGCATCATCAGCATATTGGCAACAACTGCACAGGGTTCTTTTGAGTAGAGAGGATTTGAGTATATTTTCTGTCTTAAGTGTAAAGCATCCTACTCATCTTTTAATGCTCATATTTTACCATAACAGCATTCATTCATGTTCGTGTGTTTGTGTTGTAGCTGTGACTCAGGTGGGGACTGTGAGTGTCTCTGTACAGCCATTGCTGCCTATGCTGAAGAGTGTAACCGCAGAGGGGTCTCCATCCGCTGGAGGTCCCAGGAGCTCTGTCGTACGTCAAAGACACACTCATACAGTCAATCTATTACACTTTTAGTCCTGTCTTACTGTCTGCGTGTAACCGGTGTTTTCTGTCCTTATCTTGTTGTCTAATTTTGTTGTATTCTCCTTGTTTGTCTCATTCATGCAGCCCTGCAGTGTGAGAATGGGCTGGTGTATGATCCCTGTGGTCCAGCTTGCTCTACCTCGTGTCCCAGTGTTCAGCAGAGTCAACACTCCCAGTGTGGCGTTCTCTCCTGTGTGGAGGGCTGCTTCTGCCCTGCCGGCACAGTCCAACACGGTAAACCAGATTAGCCAAAGTAATCCTGAGCCACCAAGGGTGATATACACTGTGGAGGAACATACTTATGTATTTACAGTAGTAGGATGTATCTCTGAAGATGAAACACATTTGTAAACAAATTAAACGTCAGATAGGATGCTACTTAAAAAAAAAACATACACGAGGAGCTTGTACACAAGCCTGTTTACTGCCTCATGTTACAAAGATGAAATTCCCCTTTGGGATTAATAAAGTGCAAACATAACTTTAATCAAACTTCACTTTTTTAAGATAAATAAAAGGTTTCTCTGGAAAAAAAGTATTGTGTATCCCTAAAAATGAAACGTGCACGTAAACAAAATTAAACATATGTTATTTGCATGCTAAATAACAAAATCACATTCCCCCAATCCCAAATGGATCCCTTACAGACTCGTTGACTCAAGCCCTAAACCCATCAGGTAAAGAGCTAACTTGACGGAGAACTGGGACACCACTTCCCCTCACGTGAACGCGCAAAACCAAGGGGAAGGGCCAAGAGAAGGGCTAAGGGGAAGAAATGGAATTGGTCCTAGGTCTGTAAGGGCTTAGGGCTTGAGTCAGCGAGTCTGTAAGGGATCCATTTGGGATTGGGGGATTATGTTATATTGGTAGAGGTACAGTACCGCGCAGGGCAACTTCAGAAAAATAATTTCAGCTTGGTAGCAGGTATCTGGAGGTGACTGTATTCAGCATGTGGATCAGTCCGGGGTTTTCCACTGTATATATGGGCAAAATATATTTCGTGCTGTGCAAAGCGACTGCATCTGTAATGAGATACAGTGTCATACGCTTCTCACACTCGGCTGCCTGCCTCTGTTTGAGGTGCTGAAATTAATTAGTCATGGTGCTGCCTTGCGCTGCCACAGACAGATGAACCCTTTAGTTCAGGACACATGATGAACTTTGCTGCCATTCTACCCTCAGGACAAGATATCAAATTTACAAACAACATGGCCTCAGAAGAATGTTTGTTGATTCTAATGCACCCATGGCCTTTCCTCTAGCACCACCCACAAAACAAACTTCCTTGCCGTACAACTGGTGAAGCTCCAAGAATAGCAGATTAGTCATTCTGTTTCTGCTCCACAGGGGACAGCTGTGTAGCTCCCATTCAGTGTCCATGTGAGTGGGAGGGCTCCATGTTCCCACCTGGAACTACCATCACTCAACACTGCCAGAACTGGTCAGTCAGTGTAAATGCTTATGAAAGAGTATTCCATTCATATTATCTATGTTAATGAAAGTCAGAGGGTTGTCTTTGCCTTTGTGTGTCCAGTTCCTGTGAAGATGGTTTGTGGCAGTGTGAGGGTGTGGCTTGCCCTCCTGCCCCACCTCCCTGTCTGGAATCAGAGTTCACCTGTGCTGGGGGGCGCTGCATCCCCTCCCAGTGGGTGTGTGACAATGAGGATGACTGTGGCGATGGTTCGGATGAGATCTGCCCATCCACCTGCTCTCCAGACCAGTTCCGCTGTACCAGCACACCAAGGTGAATCTAAACTCACTTTAGTGTATCGACACACAATTTCTATGTGTGGAGATTAGGAAGACAAATAAATAAGGGATAAAGATCAGCTACAATAAAGCAGCAACAAGGTCATAAACTCTATGACTCTTAGGAGGGCAGGCTTTGTTCGTCAGCCTCCAAAACTTTATTCCAGAGTGAAACATCTGGACACTTTTAATGGAGTGGATTCCCATGAAACGTGGTGAATGCATCCATGGTCTCCAGAGGACACACAGGCTTTTATCACAAATGTTTAGTATGTTTTCCTACGAAAAGTAAGACACCCAATTTTGTCTATAGCCCACGTATTTTGAAAGGCTGCAATCACATGACCAATGCTCTGACTGCGGTAAACAAGGAAGCAGTCTCGTGCTTGTAAGGATGTAGATTGGGACTTTCCTCTGGAGTTGTGTTTTTGGATCCGTGTGAACTTGATTGATTGAACTTTGAGTCATTTTCAGGGTACATCCTCACCATATTTGTTTTCCTACACCTAACCACAGTAACTTTATTTGCCTAAATCTAACCTCTGTAACTTTACGTTAATTACATAACTGTACATTAAGGATGTAATGTCAATCGCGGGGCGCAAATTCATAGGATATGATACAAACTGTTGTGCATGCATTCTTCGTAGGATATCATACAAACTATTCTATGAGAGTATGTTGGGATGAATCCTAATGACACCAACAGTCAAAATTTACACTTTAATTTAATACGGCAAGCTTGTAAAAATACTGATTGAATTCATGCAGCCATGAGGTCATAACCTTAGAGCAAGATCACAAATGTTAAAGGTCTAGTGTGCAGCATTTAGTGGCATCTAGTGGTGAGGTTGCAAATTGCAACCAACTGAAGCTTCTCCCATGGCCAATGCAAAAATGCAAAAAAGGCAAATGGCCCCATCCACAGCCAGTATTTGGTTTGTCCCTGGTGAGCTACTGTAGGCGAACTTCATGAAAGAGGAACTGCTCTGTATGTAGATATTAAACAGCTCATTCTAAGGTAATAAAAGCACAATTATTCTTAGTTTCATTCTTAGGGGATTATAAACTTATGAAAACATAGTTATGAGTAATATATTTAGTTTCAGCCAATATATCCACCTAAATCCTACACGAAGGACCTTTGAAACAGTTTTTATGTTAAGCTAAAATGCTAAATGTTTTAACAAGTGTATAGTTAGCATTCTAAAGCAGCAGTAGGAATATTTTGTTTGCATAATGTTGTCTGTTTGTGGAGATTCTTTCTTAAAGGCTTCACCTAGGCATGTAAGCAAAGTTTAGCATATCATTGTTAGCATGCCTGCATATTATCACACTAACCTTTTAACTGAAACATTACATCCACGCTACACCCCACAATGTTTAAGTGGAAATAGACATTTTATTTGCCTAAACTTATCAATGAAAATTATTGCTGATTGTACAATGAAATATATATATAATAATAATACGGTCATTGTTTAGTTTGGTTCCCTCTAACTCACCTTCACTCTGGACACGATCCCCTTGGAAAATGAAGGCTCGCTTTATTTATTAAAGGAAGTCAATCAACCATTGTGCAGCTAAAACAGGAAGAGGATAGTGCTTTTGTTTTGTAGCTATCAGAAGCTTTCCCCACTTACCAAAGAGTATCAGCATCAGTTCTCTGCAGTCACTATCCCCAGTAGTGGAAATGGTGGACGGTGGAACAATCAAAGTAATGCTGGACACTGTAGTAGTTACTTAGCTCTGAGGAAAACGATTGTCTTTGCGACAGCAGTGCCAGTAATAATATCACTTGGAAAATCTTTTTCCTCTTTAACCTGGTAATTCAAAAGCACATGCTAAACATCAGCATGCTGATTTCCAACAGTTGTTTTTCGCACTAACAATCTTTGCTGCTACTGTATGACGAAGTTCCTGTAGTAACTAAAGTGCACTGACCCTAACCTCCACAGTGGCCCATGTTTGAACCTGGCTCTGCAATGTGATGGCCACCCAGACTGTGCTGACCAATCAGATGAGGAGTTCTGTGGACCTGCCACCCCCACGGCTCTGTGCCCAGTGGGGGAGTTTCAGTGTGCCAATGGAAAGTGTCTTCCAGCCAGCCACGTGTGTGACGGACGGCTGGACTGCGGTTTTGCCGATGGGTCTGATGAGCAAGGTAATATATTACTCTCTCCCCAGCAATACACACCACATATAGTTTTATTTAAACAATTTAATGTTGTGTTTGCTGTGTTTTTACACATGAACTTACTCAAATGATTCCTGTATGGTGTGTTTGTTTTGTCGGTCCAGACTGTGGTGTGGTGTGTGATGAGGGGGAGTTCCTGTGTGCTGGAGGACGTTGCATTCTCTACCTCCACCGCTGTGACGGACATGACGACTGTGGGGACCTCAGTGACGAGAGGGGGTGTGTGTTCAGTTCTCCGGAATTTTGTTAATATGCTTTGCAGTGTTTGTTGTGTCATCTTGACACTTCTAAATGTTTTGGCTGGTTACAGGTGTGTGTGCGCACCAGGGGAGTTTCAGTGCCCTGGGGACCAGTGTGTCCCTGCAGACAGAGTGTGTGATGGACACAGAGACTGCCCCTCTGGAACAGACGAAGCTGTCTGTCTAAATAAAGGTACAAATAAAAGTACAGCATTTAACTGTGTCAGTTGTGAGTTAAATACGTTTTCCCAAAGCGATCCTGCAGGGTTTGAATCAGTGATCAGATTTCATCCTCTCTGTGTGTGGCAGTGACCTGTGCTCCTGACCAGTTTGCCTGTAGTGACGGCACATGTATTGTCACCACCAAGTTGTGTGATGGAGCGACAGACTGTCCAGGTGGAGAGGACGAGAACAGAACCAACTGCTATGCTTTTATCACAACACCATCACCTGTCTCCCCAGGTACGCCCGCTTCAGATAATGCCAGTCATGATTTGGAGATATTTCTTTCAGTGTTCAGTGTTTTTCTGTACACTCTTGTTTCTCCAGCGTGTAGGTCCTACGAGTTCAGCTGTGCCACAGGTGGGCAGTGTGTGCCCCAGGCATGGCGCTGCGATGGGGAAACAGACTGTATGGATGGTAGTGATGAGCAGCATTGTGCCGCCCCCTGTGGCCCCGGTCAGGTTCCCTGCCTCAGTGGGGACCAGTGTGTGGACTACCAGCAGCTCTGTGATGGGACCCCACACTGCAGGGATGCCTCAGACGAGAGCATTGACAACTGTGGTGAGTTACTGTTAATTTATATGTGAAGACAATAAAATTTATATCATCAGGCAGCAAAAACAGACTTTGTCTAAAGACGTGTTCTTGGGTACTGACAATAATTCTGTCCCCTTAGGTTCCACTCGGATTCCTCCTTGTCCAGGCAGCTTCCTGTGTGACAACCGCACCTGTGTGAACATGTCGCAAGTGTGCAACGGCGTTCCAGACTGTCCACGGGGTGAAGATGAGTTGGTGTGTGGTGAGTTCTCACGAGATAAGAAGAAGAGAGGTGAGAGTGGATGCAAGGATAGATGCTGTTGTGCTCCATGACTGGATCATAGGGAATAGAAAAGAAGGGAGTAAGGGAAGCATAGAAAGGGAAATAAATTAAGGAAGAAACTTAAAGGGGAGTAAACTTCCCAGTCTGCCATATTGACAAATTTGATGGTGATGTATCTTTTAATCTGTGGTATATTTAATGATATTTTTGGAATCTTGCTCTGTCCAGATAAAACTGTGTCACCAGTGCCCCCTGGCAGGGAGAACACCACCTGCCCTGAATTCACCTGTATGGATGGATCCTGCGTCCCCTTTAACACGGTACATCTAATATTGCTATGATTACATTTTAAAGGAAAACATAAACCCCATATTTATTTAATTAACAGTCTTCTTGGTTAGCCATCAAAGGCGTGCACCATATACTGGTAAAACACATGAACCCTCCCTTTCGTCTACATTCCTGTTCACACACCCTGCTCTGTTATGTAGGTGTGTAATGGAGTGGCAGACTGCCCAGACTCCTCATTAGCACCACTTGGAGGTCCCACTGATGAGCAGGGCTGTAGAAGCTGGAGCTCCTGGGGTCCGTGGAGCCCCTGCAGCACCTCCTGTGGTACAGGCTCAATGAGCCGGCAGAGAACCTGCCCTCCAGGAGATCCACTGCACCAGTGTCGGGGGCAGGACCTCCAGAGGCAGCACTGCTTCAACACCACCTGCCCTGGTAAGGAGGTGGATATGAGGGAATAAACTGTTTCAAAATGTTGATGCATGGTTTAAAATCAAGCACTAAAATATGATGCTCTCTACTCCCCACTACAGTGGACGGTCAGTGGCTGCCATGGGTGAGCTGGTCGAACTGTTCCAGCGGTTGTGGTGGAGTGCAGGTCAGACACAGAGGCTGCATCCCTCCTCGCTACGGAGGGCGAGACTGTTCCCAGCTCCCTGGACCATCCAACCTACCCATGGAGATCAGTAAGAGCGGACTGTAAACAAAGAAATAAAACACTGAATTAAATGATACTGGAGATGTAATTGGTAGTGATGGCCAAATGAAGCCTCATGAAGCATTTTCTTTATTTTCTAAGCCCACTAGATGGCGCTCATGGTTCAAAGAGAGAGGCTCAAAGAATGGCAGTTCATTGTGCTTTCGACCTTTTCTTGAACAAAAAGCGCCATCTAGTGGGCTCAGAAAATAAAAACAACGCTTCATGAAGCTTCATTTGGCCATCACTAGTAATTGGTCTAAAATCATTAGTTAGTACGGAAAGAAATGTCTCAGCCTTGTACAGTAATTGAGGAGGAAAGTGTTCACAAAAAATCCTCCAGAAGATAGCACTATTTTGTTGTTAGAAACTAGGTCAAATGAAAACTGATTTTCCGAAACCCCGACAGATAAGACTATAACTGTTTGCATGACTTGATTCGGGGAAAATACGCGAGACGAAACCGTTTTAGAACATTGCAGGGAAAAGTTGCAGTGGTGTGAACTGGCCAGTCTGAGCTCGACTCAAGATGGCCGATGTAGCCTGTTTATACTTGCCTTATCATGAATCTGTGGTCTGAACTGGGCTTCAGAATGATCCCTATGAAACAGGTATTCTGATCAAAATGAACAGTAACAAAGAAAGTGGGAATGCAAAGAACGTTTAAAAGATTTTAAAAAATGAACTTTTCTCCCTCCTGTCCTCTGTCAGAGCCTTGTCCAGATGATGGATGTGCCAACACCAGCTGTCCCACTGGGCTGGTGAGACACAGCTGTGCTCCCTGCCCAGTGTCCTGTGCCCACATCAGCAGTGGGACGACCTGTGATCCAGTAACACCCTGCTCCTCAGGTCAGTCAGAAGGAATCTGGAGTATCTTGTGCTCTAGAATGAATTGTTGCTTCTTCCCATTTTCAAATTGCCAAGTTAATTTTTTAAATCACAATCAATGTGTCTCACATGTCAGGTTGTTGGTGTCCCGAGGGCCAGGTGATGAGCCATACGCAACAGTGTGTGTTACCAGAGGAGTGTGTGTGTGAGGTGGCAGGTGTGCGCTACTGGCCGGGCCAGCAGATGAAGGTGGACTGTGAGATCTGTATTTGTGAGAGAGGAAGACCTCAGAGGTGCCAGCCTAACCCAGACTGCTCAGGTGAGTCAGACCAACATCAAATCCACACAGTTGGATTCTACCCACATACTGAATAGTCTGAGCAATCCCACAGCTGGTTTTGTAATCCTGCAGTGCACTGTGGCTGGTCGTCATGGTCTGAGTGGGGAGAGTGTTTGGGGCCCTGTGGTGTTCAGAGTGTCCAGTGGTCGTTCCGCAGCCCAAACAACCCGACCAAGCATGGAGACGGGAGAACGTGTAGAGGGATTTACAGGAAAGCTCGCCGGTACGTAGCCCTCTCCTACCTTAACTGTTTCTGCAACTCGACTTCTACACCACTGCACCTCTACTCATAGTATCCTTGGTCCCAATTGGATGATTCCTAAATATTCTGGTGACCCAGAATACATGCTCTCCACATGTGATCTTACCAGTTTTGTGCACATGAACATTTCTGACCAGCTTGCAATATTTAATTTACATTTTAATAATCCCTCGTGAAGTTACTTACACTGACAAGCTTTGTCCTCGCTGATCATCTGCACTACACCACTGTTAGAGGTAGCTCTTTGTCTTCGTGTGTAACGCCACATATGAGCAAACACATGCATTTCATTACTCCTGCATGCAGGTGCCAGACAGACCCCTGTGATGAGTGTGAGTACCAGGGTCAGTCCCATGCTGTGGGGGACAGATGGAGGTCAGACCACTGCCAGTTATGTCACTGTCTGCCCAACCTCACAGTGCAGTGTTCCCCCTACTGTCCGTACGCTGTCAGTGGATGTCCACAGGTAAGACGAGAATTGTGTGTGACTGCGCTCACTGTATATGCTGCACATTACTATATTTGCACATTTATTTGAGTGTGTGACCGTGCACGCTGAAATCCCTCTGTCTTTAAATCTTATCTCCTGTAAACAGTTGAATCCACACACAGTGTCCCCGTCACAATCCACAGCCCTGCTTCCTCTGCATCCTTTGCTTCTCCTCTACATAGTTGTGTCCCGTAGCAACTCTACCACACGTGTGATTGAGTCAGACGTTGAATGTTGGTTTATTTGCGCAGGGCCAAAGCCTGGTGCCTGGAGAGGGAGACAGGTGCTGCTACTGCCGAGGTAAAGTCAGAACTTTTGTTCAGCTATCTGCGCTGAATAAATGTCTTCCTGTGAAGTAAAATGATTTGCACTCACCAGTTACACACGACTAACTGCACTCCATGGTTACTGATGGTGTCACTGAGAGATGGTTAATGTCAGAGATGACGTTGATCCCAGTAAATGATAGGAAATATTATGTTTTTGTTTTGTTCCCAAACAATAATCCTTCTATTTTACAACACCTCTGTAGGAGGAAATGACACCATACTTGTGACAATCAGTCCTGTCACTGTGACCTCCAAGCCAGCAGGCGGCACTACACCTGTGGTTCCCACGTATCCACTTCCTCCTGGAGGTTTGTGTGTTCTTCATATGATCAATTGGTCATCAGCTTCACAAGTAGGAGTTGAGAATTTTGGCTTTTTAGCATCTACAATTACCATCCAAAGGTTTGTCTATTTTCTCGTTTCCTTCTCTGTACAGATGAGTGTTGGTCTCCTCTGGGTGTTCAGACTCTCCCAGCCTCAAGTTTCAGTGCCTCGTCACAGCAGACTGGTCACCCCCCAGAGGCAGGTCGCCTCCATTGGTGGGACCCCCACAGTGACCTCCAGGTACACCAAGATGATAGATTTATATAACGGGACCAGACTTTATACCGTTCATCCTGACTGAATGTCCTTGAGCAAGCTGAATCCACACCAGCTCCAAGACTGCTGTTCTGTAGCCTGCACTCTGACATTTGAAAATGTAATGTTTCCCACAGTGTTAGGTAAAATTAATGAGTCAGGTTCAGTTATTTAAACCAGGGGATGATGACATTAGGAAACAATGCCTCTGACCGCTGAACGACTTACATGAGCTGGACCTGGTAGATTGGTAGATTTTGGAGTGCTCCTTTGATTTTCAATCCTTTACACTTTTATTTGTGGTATACAGTGTTTTCTCTGTTTCTTGGCCATGCTAACGACGTGGCTCAAGGGATGGCAATGTTGGTTGGTCGGTCAGTTGGCTGTTACATTGTCTCAGAATGAAATATTTCCACAGTTACTGAATGGATTTGGGACAAGCAATCAGGATAAAATTGAATGTCTTAGTTGATCCTCTGACTTTACCTCTAGTGTCCGCAGCAGTATTACACTTGACTTGACATCTAGATTGACATAAACTTTGGTACAGATATTCATGTCCCCCTCAAGATTAATAATCTCTTTTCTTCTGCATTATGAGGCCAGGTTTTTTAATTTGTCCAATACCTGCAAAACTAAAGCTAATATTAAAGTTACTGTAATTATTTCCAGCTTGTAATATTCACCTCAAGTTCCAAGTCATAATTACAACTTACAACTTTTCCTCTGAATGCTGTGATTTATCCAACACGGCACCTACTAATGTTAATATAGAAATCATTTAGTGTAATTAAATCCAAATGTAATGGATACGTTGTTATATTCTCAAGACACAGTATTTAAAATCTTATCATCACCAAGTCTGTATTTAAGCCAGAGATAAACTTACGTTTTAACCATTTATTTGCACAAACAACTGGCTGAGCCATGAAGGTAATTGTTCACGTACTTGCCTATGTACTACACGGGTTAACTGAGGATTACACAAGGGGCACACCAGTGAACTGAGACCGTGTAGAACATCCAGATTTGCATGACTTTAATAATAAATATTGCCAAACTTCCTGGCAGAAAGAGCGTCAGCAGCGCCATCATAGATGGAATGTTAGACGCCTGAATCAAGCATGTTGTGACAAAGGCAAGTATGTATGTTACACTGCCCCTATCGCTCATGTACGTACTTTCATCCTGCGTATGCGTAGCATTTCCGAAAACAGGCAGAACCAATGTCCCAAACAGATGCAGGATACGTGAGGAAGTTTGTAACATGGAATTTTCCCCAAGCTTGCCATCCTGCTTTAACATCTACATGACGTCTTATGTACAAAACATTTATCTGCAGGGCTGGAGCCCAGAACCTGAGGAGTATAAGGATCTACCACAGCGGAGTCCTGAGGGACGCAGTAGCAACACACAAAGCCCGTACATACAGATAGACCTGCTGAATCGATACAACATCACTGGTAAACATTTACACAAATGCCTTAGAACAAGCTCTGATTGAAATGCTGGTTTACTCAATGTGAGATTATGTGCTGTATATCAGTAAAATAAATAAAATGCTTTCCATCCTCCTCTAGGTGTGCTCACCCAGGGTGGTGGTGTGTTCGGCACATTCGTGTCCAGCTTCTACCTCCAGTTCAGCCAGGATGGCAGACAGTGGTACACTTACAAGGAGCTTGTTACTGATGCCCGGCCCAGAGCCAAGGTCAGACCTCAGACCAAGTCTATGCAACTTTTCCATCATACACAGTGAACGCCAACTGCTATTGCTTTTTTATGTTTTTGAGTTGTCTGCCATGTGTTCTGGAGGCATTAAACTCTGAGGTGGTGTTCTAGTTCAGATGTTGAAACTGATGTGTTGCCATTCTCCCTCCAGGTTTTCTATGGTAACCATGATGATCGAGGGGTGGCAGAGAGCAGACTGGACAGGATGGTGTCGGCCCGGTTTGTCCGTCTGCTCCCACACGACTTCCAGAATGGCATCTACCTGCGGCTCGAGATCATGGGCTGTGGAGATGGTAGGTGGAAATTTTGACTGTACTTTGCTGGTGTTACGTGATTTTGTGAACAAATGCGATTATAAAATGCTTTCCTCTCCTCCAGGTGACCACTGGTTGACGACCACCACTCCTCCCTCCCAAGTCTCCCCACCAGGTGGCTGCAGAGAGAAGGAGTTCCAGTGTAAAAACGGGCGCTGTGTGCCTGCTGGTCCACTGGGAGTTGTCTGTGATGGAGTCAATGACTGTGGGGATGGATCAGATGAAATGTACTGTGGTGAGTGTTCCAACCTAACACACCTGAGTTTCATTTATTGTACTGTATAAGAAGTTATTTCTGGGATGTGGTGGAAAAGAAACCTGCTCAGGTTGTAGACTGTTCGCCATTTTTAATCTAATCTTTGATCCTGGTGCTTTTAAGTAGTGATGGCCAAATGAAGCCTCATGAAGCATTTTCTTTATTTTATGAGCCCACTAGATGGCGCTTTTTGTTCAACAAAAGGTTGAAAGCACACTGAACTGCCATTCTTTGAGCCTCTCTCTTTAAACCATGAGCGCCATCTAGTGGGCTCAGAAAATAAAGAAAATGCTTCATGAGGCTTCATTTGGCCATCACTACTTTTTAGCTTTCTTAAAAAGGCTTTGTAAGTCACACATACCAAAACTGAATATAGAAATCGCTCCCCACGTGCAGGTACGCAGCCGTCCCCTACAACCATCAGCTCACGCAGCTGCCCTGCTGGTCAGTTCTCCTGCCCCCCACCAGGGGGCTGCATCGAGGTATGGCAGCGCTGTGACGGGATCCCCCACTGTCCCAAAGGAGAGGATGAAACTGGCTGCCATTCCCATGAAAACATCACTACCCAGTCCGACAGGTAGAGGGCATCTTTAACAACATTTATATTTGATAAATCATGTTAATTCACATCCTCGTCTTTCATTCTTTCTGGATGTTGTGAAGTAAACAAGAGGGATTTTAAGTATCTGAATTATTGTTCATTGCTAATTTACAGGCCATACACACCCACCCCTGCTCCTCTCAGGACTCCATCCAAGGCAGCTGTCACTCATCCTGCAGTAACACCTACGGTAAGAGGACACATCTGTATTCACTATTTTATTGTCTGAGGAATTCATTTTGAAAGGGTACAAGACAGGGCTGCACACCTAGAAACGCTTGCAAACTTAAAAAAGAGGATTACAGGTGTTAATATCTCTACATATCAATATGTGCTTAATTTATTTTCTAATGTATTTACAGGATGGGGGCCCAGGATATCGTGGTGAGTGTTAAATGCAGTTTAGATGGCTACATTTTCTGTAGACTTTTGTGTCTGTTGATTTTATCTAAAGAATTAAAATATTAGTGAAGACCAGATGCTTTAAAATGTTGTGTTTGAGGTGTTCAGTTTGCCAAACTGACGCTGTAAGAGGGTGATAAAATTCAACATATTCTTCAGGCATCTGCTCCTCTCCTCTTGGACTGGAGGATGGGAGGATTCGATACGGTCAGCTGACGTCATCCTCACATCGGGAGAACAACCCCGCTGATGCTGGACGACTAAACATCGTCCCGAATGTGTGAGTGATCTGATCTTTGTATCGTTGTCGCCCCAAAAGCAAACACCAGTGTAAAAGACTTTTGAATTATAACATGAATGAAATACAAAGCATCCAGAACAGTAAGAAATCATATCATCATCTGTGCAGTCAGGTTATGGAGCCTGGATGGAGCCCTGTACCTTCAGATCCCCAGCCATATCTTCAGGTGGACTTCCTGGAGCCCACATGGGTGTCAGGCGTGGTGACCCAGGGCAGTGAACGCATGTGGGGTTACCTCACTAAATACCGCCTCGCCTTCGCCCTGCACAGCAGCCTCTTCACAGACTACACAGAGGATGGGAAGCCGGGTGGCCCTGCCAAGGTATTTATCCTCGTATGATGAACTGCTTCATGAATGTGTTCACAAATGGTGGAGAAAAATAAAGATCAGATACATGTGCTCATGTGCAAGTGTCCTCATGGTTGTGCTGTAGGTGTTTGAGGTGCGGATGGTGGGCAGGACTCCTGTGACCCGCTGGCTCAGCCGGCTGGTCAGAGCTCGTTACCTGCGCATCATCCCTGTGGAGTTCAGACACACCTTTTACCTGCGTGCTGAAATCCTCGGCTGCAGAGGAGGTGAGATGCATAACGAAATGATAACACTCTTGTATACTTTATTTGTAACACAGAACTAATGCTGGGATGTTCAGCCTACTTCACACCAGCGTTAATATGAATCAACTTTTCCTCCTGCTACTATAGATGAGCTGCTAACACCCAGCAGTGTGACCACATCTCCCTCTGGTGGTGGGATAGTGACTGTGCAGCGTTGTAAGCCGGGTCAGTTTGCATGCCAGCACAGTGAGGAGTGTGTCTCTGTGTCTGTGCTCTGTGACGGTCGACCAGACTGTAAGGACCACTCCGACGAGATCAGCTGTGGTGAGAGCTGGTGATAGTTGGTCGTGTATATTTTCAATCTTCTTTTGAGTCGTGCCTGAACACCAAGTTTTAGTCCTCTTACATGTTTACAAGTGAATAAATTGCCCCATTGCTAAGTCCCGCCCCCCTTGGTAACTGTACCTCTGTTAAAATGATGTCAGTCAGTCAGTTATATTCCAAAGAAAATAATCACAAATTTCCGAGAGGAGCGATGTAGACCGAAAGAATTTCATGTGACAGTTTAGTCAGAAAAATATGCAGCACCTCTCTGCTCCATTTTCCTTGATCCATGTCTGTCTTTGCTTACGTCTCCTTCTCCTCATCCTCTTCTTCAGGAACGGCTCCAACCAGAGGCTCTCCAGGGCTGCACAACCAGACCAGCTCCACTGGGGCTCCAGGTTTCCATGGTGAAAGTACAACCGGTGCCCCAGGCCTCCATACCACCAGGTCCCAAGGTGGCCTTCCTGGTGTGGCCAGCCCAGGGGTCACAGGTCAGACTGGACAGACGACAGCCGCAAGTGCAGGTATAATCCGCTGCTTATTTTGTCTTCCTTTGTTGAATGTGTCTGTTTGCAAGTCACTTAAGACCATTTATTTTCTTAGGGGTCACCACAGGTCAGCCTGGACTGCATCTCACTACCACTCTTGATGTTGGAAAACCTGGGTTGCAAACTACGGAAGGTGAGAGACAGCTGTCATACAACCATACAGGACTCACTGATTAACACTTTATACGTAACAGTCTAATATTATAACCTTGATTTCATTTTTATTTACAGCCCCATGGGTCGCTACAACCCCCCATGATGGTGGTCTACCCAGAGTGCTTTGCGTGGAGGGCCAGTTTGTGTGCCGGTCTTTTGGCTGTGTCGACTCGGCACAGGTGTGTGACGGCAGAGAGGACTGTTTGGACGGTTCAGATGAAGAACGCTGCGGTATGTCAACAGGCAGAAGAGTGGAAGTTCCAAAGAATGAAAATATGATTATTTCAATCATGGAAATACTGTAAATGTATAAGAAAAATAATAGTTGATGTGTTATTCCAGGAAAAACTCCCATGTAAGTTGAGTAAAGTTCTGTCATTGTGTTCTCGTCTCCTCAGGCACCACAGCCAGCCCAGTAGTGACACCACAGCGCCCCCTGGTGCCCAGCCCCTGCTCTCCCAAGCAGTTTTCCTGTGCCAGTGGTGAGTGCATTCACCTGGACCGCAGGTGTGATCTACAAAAGGACTGTGTGGATGGATCAGATGAGAAGGACTGTGGTAAGATATAAGCCTACCTTGAAAGTGGAAATAAGACAAAACAAAAGAGGAAAATATTTTTGCTACATTTGTTTCCTCCTCCTCTCCTCCAGTCGACTGCATCATGTCCCCGTGGACAGCGTGGAGTGCGTGCAGCGTGTCCTGTGGTCTCGGCTCCTTATTCCGGCAGAGGGACATACTCAGGGAAGCGCTGCCCGGAGGGGCCTGTGGCGGAGCTCAGTTTGATAGTCGGGCCTGTTTCCCTCGAGCATGTCCAGGTCTGTTCTCTGAACCTGAAGTCAAACACGACACATCTTCCACAAGTACCAGCTCTCTGATTTAATGTCATCTTTTCTTGTAGTTGATGGTCACTGGTCACAGTGGACAGAGTGGTCAGAGTGTGACGCTCAGTGTGGAGGTGGTGTCAGGCAGAGGAACAGAACCTGCTCTGCTCCTCCACCCAAGAACGGCGGGCGGGACTGTCAGGGCATGACCCTGCAGAGCCAGAGCTGCAACAGCCAGCCGTGCACCAAAGACACCGGCACACAGACAGGTGCTCAGTCTCTCAGACTATACATCTGTTGTTGGTGTTTGAAGTCTTAAGTTATTCTCCTCGCCTTGACCACACTGATTATGGCATCGCTGCATGATTAAGTATGTAAACTGTCTCTTCTCTGATTGGTTGTTCAGGCTGTGTCAACAGCATGGTGCTGGTGACTGAGGCAGACTGCCAGGCTGGGAGGGTGGAGCCATGTCCTCCAACCTGCTCACATCTCAGCTTGACCAGCAACTGCAGTGGAGCATGTATACTGGGTAGGACGCACAGGAGGTGATGGGGTGTCATTTTGGACCCATAGAGTGATCTCATTGTTTGCTTTATAATGTCATGTAGATACGAGAAGTTGAGGTCATTTTGGGTACATATCTGAGACCTAATTCAGTATCCATGATTGCATGTAACGTGAGACATGGTATTGCCCCTGTTTTGGGTTAGTGTTGCCAAAACCAATCAGGCCTCATGCTGTCAGACTTACATTAAGTTGACTAAATATCAGCATTGAATAATTTCCTGGACATTTCCAGTCGCACTAAATAAAATGCTCCGTTATCTTTTAATTGTCTGATTGTGATTCAGCAAGTTGGCATTTTTATAAACTCCACAAACCTGTACTGAAGCTTCGAGAACAGTAATAGCTCACTGAGGCTCATTTCTGTGGAGCTAAAATGCTGATTAAGACTAATTCTGTCTTCTCCAGGGTGCCGCTGTCCCGATGGTCTTTACCTTCAGGACGGGCGATGTGTGAATGCCAGCCAATGTGTGTGTCTGTGGGACGGTGAGATGCTGCAGCCAGGACAGACGGTCAGCAGGGACCAGTGCACCACATGGTGGGAGACACAGATAGATTTATTTGTTTGTTTTTCACTTTGAGAGCGAGCCTGTTTTTTATTACTGATGTCATTTTATAAAATGCCAATGAACTCAAATTTAACTTGACTTCAAAAAATATTTTTACTTTATTTTTCATGTCATAATGTTTTGTCTGAAGACGTGTCATATTTTTCAGTTGCTCTATTTTAAATCACACTCAGGTTCTTCCAAGCAGTATCTTGGACCACCTGACTGCTGCCTTAGTGTCTAAAAAGCAAATCTGACTGTAAAAAACGAAGCTAATAGAAATACATATTTCTCTCCCATCAGTGTGTGCAAAGATGGAAAAGTAGCCTGTGACACCTCCCGTTGTGCAGCCACCTGTCACTGGTCAGGCTGGTCGTCATGGTCACCATGTGATGTGACCTGTGGTCTGGGGCTCCAGCAACGCTACAGGTGAGCTTGTTTAATTCAAACTCAAATTGTAAAGCACCGTACCTCTGCCTCGTAACACTTTCTACAAGACTCATTTTCACAACAGGAGTGTGATAATATTAAATTTTATCAATGATTCTGTTCTTAATCTGTACTTATTTTCTCTGCTTGCTTTCTTTTCTACACTCTCATTCACATTTTAGATGCTTGCATCATATGTTCCTTTTAAATTTTTGGTTTGCATTTGTTTTAAGAATCCTAATTTGCTGTTTTCACTGCTGTATCATTTACTGTTCGCTGCTGCAACAATCTAGTTTCCCCACAGGTTTTGTTACTGTAACTTCAGTCCCACTTTTATATCATGCATCAACCCTCTGGAGTCGACGGACGTGCCCGTGCGTCCAAATCACATGACCGATTTAAGATGACGTAGCAGCAAGACGCAGGCTCGCTGAGTCTCTGTTTTAGCTTGTGTTGAAAGTGCGAACTTCCAGCTATATACCAGGTTTGGTTTTAGGTGCAATGTGTTAATACAGTATGTCAAAATGAAAAAATAACTGTAAAGTCACACAGGTGAGATTATGCTGAAACAAATGACACCAAACAAGGCAAGGTAAACAGTTTTTAAGGTGAAATTTAAAGGTAAAATCAAAAGTTATACCCTTGACCCCAAAGGGTTAATGCACTTGTTCTGCACTGATGGTGTTTGACTGCTCACACACCACCCTTTAAATTTGACCAGGAGTCTTTATGCCTCGACTTTGTCTCCTCAGGTCTCCAGTGAACCCGGCTGGAGCAGTCAGAATCCAGCCCTGTCCAGGAGACTCCTCAGAGGCCCGCCGCTGCTCCAACCCCTGCCTACCTGGTACACCAACTCACATTAATGTCACACTGTGTGGTTTTACCTTGTTTTTCAGGGAGTTCTTTTAAACACAAGCTTCTCAAAGACTTTTTTATTTGTCACCTAATATTTAATCTAACAAATCCTGTGTGTATGGGTCAAAAATGATGGTGATTAGATGTTACACTAAAATGAATGTATGTAATAAATGAAAAGCTGCTTATCCTTTCTTTGTTAATAACATGGATATCAAAATGTGTAGCTACACCAAGCTAGTAAATGGGACTGGGTGTTTAATTTAAGTTTTATGGTAAACCTGTCTTTGAACACTTTGATGCAAGTCTCAGGTCACTATCCTAGAATCACTTGCATACTCATTATCATATGATGTCTGTGTCCTCATCTCTTCCAGTGCTACCAGATGGAGTCTGGAGTAAATGGACCGGCTGGTCAGAGTGCAGTAAGACATGTTTCAACCACGTCGACGATGTTGGAATCCGACGACGATTCCGCAGCTGCAACCACACGCTCGCAGCTTTCAACCAAGCGGACACACACTCCGCCTGCGAGGGAGACAGTGAGGAGCAAGAGCCTTGCAACACTGTGCGCTGTCCAGGTATTACAGACGCAGACACACACACAGAAACCACAAGTTCTCTGTTCCCTCCGCTCTCCACAAATGATGTGTTAGGAAGACAACTGTCTGAAAAGCTGATGCTAGATGTGTCCTTCCAGTGAATGGCGGCTGGTCATTGTGGTCATCGTGGTCGCAGTGTTCATCAGAGTGTGACTCCGGCGTCCAAACAAGAGAGCGGTTCTGCAACTCCCCCTCACCACAGCATGGGGGCAGCAGCTGCCCTGGGCCACACATACAGACACGAGACTGTAACTCCCACCCTTGCTCAGGTATAGCATCATGTTTTCTTACAACTCAAGCTAATGTGTGTGAATAATAATTTAATAAGAATTTTCTCTGTCCGCAGTTGCGATATTCTGTCCTTACCTCCACTCGTCTCCTCTCAGGTGTGTGTCCAGAGGGCATGGTGTACATGACATCAGCAGAGTGTGAAGCTCACGGCGGTGCGTGTCCGCGGGTGTGTTTGGACATGACCTCCGCAGAGGTGCAGTGTGCCACCGCCTGTTATGACGGCTGTTACTGTGCCCTGGGCTTCTACCTGCTCAACGGCAGCTGTGTGCCTCTGGCAAAGTGCCCGTGTTACCATCAGGGGGAAACGTACCCAGCCGCGGCCACCCTGCCTTTTGATGCCTGCAATAACTGGTACTGTTGGCCTGTGTCCAAAATGACTTTGACTGTGAAGTGGACAAAATGACATCTGTCTTTAAATGAAGTTTAGATTATTTTTTAATTTTTTTTTTGGGCCACTTATTCTTACACTGTGTGTCTCAAACAGCACCTGCACTAACGGAGAAATGGTGTGTGGAACAGCTCCGTGCCCTGGTGAGTGAATTTCGATTAGTTTTGTGTGTACATTTACTCATCTCCTCCACAGCCTCTTGCTTTCCATAAGTCTTCTCTTCTGTCCTCATTTGTCCCCCATGCTCTCTGTCTTTCTCCACATTTGATCCTGTGTGGTTTCCTCAGTGGACTGTGGCTGGAGCAGCTGGACTCAGTGGAGCGCTTGCAGTCGCACATGTGACGTTGGTGTGAGAAGGCGTTATCGCTCGGGAACCAATCCTCCTGCAGCTTTCGGGGGCCGTCCCTGCAAAGGAGACAGAGTTGGGATTGACACCTGCAGCATTGAGCCCTGCTTTGGTGAGGAGAATTTTATTATTTACGAAATCCAAGTTGTTGCTCCTGTGTGTTCAAAGAAATTAAAAACAAACCACTGATCAAAACAGACAGAAGTTAGTGAAGTTTTGATGCGTCTGAAGGTACAAAGGAGCCGTGGAGTGCGTGGTCAGGGTGCTCAGTGACATGTGGAGGAGGTTACAGGACCAGAACTCGCGGGCCCATCCGGATCCACGGCACCGCTCAGCAGTTCAGCGCCTGTAACCTGCAGCCCTGTGGTACGGCAAGACAGAACGTTGGATGTCCTTTTTTTTTTTACAAAAATCAGGTGAATTAAGAGAAGAGAAAGTTTTAATTGATTTCTTCTTGGACTCTGTTGCTGTGTCAGGAGATGGCAGGGTGTGTCCTCCAGGCCAGGAGTGGCAGCAGTGTGTGAGGGGAGCAGTGTCATGCACAGACCTGACCATGGACCTGAGCAGGAACTGCACACCAGGCTGCCAGTGTCCACACGGGACAGTCCAACAGGTGGGTGGAACGGCTAAACGCAATCAATGGTACACAAACATATACACAGAAACCACCAGATGGTCCTTTGTGTTTCCAGGATGGCGTGTGTGTGCGAGAGTCTGATTGCCGCTGTGATCTGGACGGAGAACAGTACAAACCTGGAGACATTGTGCCCACAGACTGCAACAACTGGTGAGTGAAGCTGACGTCTTTAACTGCTCCATGAGCCAGGATGAGTTTAACTCCGCCAGCATGTGTTTACATCATTCGTACATGAAGAAGAGATGACATTATGGTTTGTGTGTGTTTATATTTCAGCACATGTGAAGCAGGGAGGCTGGTGAACTGCTCTCGAGTCAGCTGCAATGGTAGGCGAGGAGTCAGTCAGTTAATCTGTAATGGAGCCACTGCTGCTTTTCTTTTAATTGTAGAGATGCAATTAAAAGAGGTACAGTTTTTCTTCTGTTGTCTCTAACCTCTGTGTTGCAACTTTCTGTTCCTCCTCGCACAACCACACACGCTCTCTCCAGTTGACGGCCAGTGGTCAGCATGGACTCCCTGGGGTCAGTGTTCAGTGTCATGCGGAGCGGGTCTCCAGTCTCGCTACAGGTTCTGTTCCAGCCCTCAGCGCTCTGGCAGTGGGCTGCCATGTCTGGGCCCTCACAGAGAGGACCAAGTCTGCATCGCTGCTCCATGTGACCGTGAGTTTGTTTTCTGTTCATCTGTATTTACTGACATTCTGTTGATATTCAAAGCTACTGGCATTACATTTTCTATTCCTCGTCTCTTTTTATATCCTTTATTTAGCCAGGAAGGTCACACAGAGACAGAGGATCTCTCCTTCCAGGGAGTCCTGCACATTAATACGTCACCTGTATGCAAATTATAACTGGATTGCTCCCAGGATCCAGACAAATTAAAATTTTTGGGGCAGTCAGATCACAAATTCTTAAAGGAGCTACCTGAAGCTAACTTAATTTGCTCTGGCATAAGTTGCTTGCCAGAAAAATTTAATTGAACATCCTGTAAGCCGCGAGGATTGTTTAATGTCAGTCGACAAATTAAGGCTTTGTCAGGCTGCTAGAGCTTTTTAAGTTTCTCATTATTCTCTAGTGAAATATATCCTTTAAATGTCGAGAGTGATATAAAAATATTAATGAAGACCAGCTCCTGTTGAAATAAAACAGATACACACATCCTGTTTACTTAAAACTGCAAGTTCTAGCTCTAATTTTTACTATTTCATCATGATGTGTTGGCACTTTCCAGGTGACGGTGGCTGGGGTGAGTGGAGTAACTGGACCAAGTGTACCAAGTCATGTGGTGGCGGGGTTCGGAGCCGGAAGAGAGAGTGCGACAGCCCGAGTCCAGAGGGGGAGGGGAACTACTGCGAGGGTCTGGGAACTGAGGTCCTCACCTGTAACACTGACCACTGTCCAGGTACGTTTGCAGAGTGTAGAATGTAGATTGTAGAGTACAGTGTGAATTTTGTTCACAGTACAGCCGACATTATGTTACTGTTTTGACGTGTGTATCTGCGTGTGTTTCCAGTGGCGCCATGCTCGCAGGTCCCGGGCACAGCGTTCAGCAGCTGTGGCCCCTCCTGCCCTCGCTCCTGTGATGACCTGGCTGTGAGTATCACTCTGATTATCACCGGTTTAACATGAAGTCACACTTTGTGGAGAACAATAAGAATTCAGGTGATAAGGGGATTGTCTTCCTCTCCCTCAGCACTGTGAGTGGCAGTGTGAGCCAGGCTGCTACTGCACAGAGGGAAAGGTCCTATCTGATAACGGGACAGTCTGTGTCGAGAGAGAAGACTGTCCCTGCCTGGACCTCAACACTGGACACAGGCTGGAACCAGGGGAGACCACTGAAGCCCCTGATGGATGTAACAACTGGTCAGGATTATACACAACCACATTTATATTTAAGGGAGAAATATCCAGACAAGAAAATAACTTTGTTGGTATTTCATTTTTGTGTCAGCACTTGTGAGGGCGGGAGGCTCAACTGCACCAGAGACGCCTGTCCAGGTGAGTCAGACCAGCTGTTAGTCTCTGTCCCTTAATTAAAAAACAAATACACTGGCTTGTGTGCAGTCTTTCTGTCTCTGACTGAAGTTTAAACTCACAAATGCAAATTTCCGACTTGATTAAAAGGAAACCTGCACAGGAAAGTTATGTCTGGAGATGTTCATAAATGTATGTGTGTGTCTCCAGTGTCAGGCGGCTGGTGTGAGTGGTCAGAGTGGACGCCGTGCTCCAGGACGTGTGGGGCAGAGTCGGTGTCCCGCTACAGGAGCTGCGGCTGTCCTGAGCCCAAAGCTGGAGGAGCGGCCTGCTCTGGAGAACAGGAAATACACAATGGGGTCGGAGTTCAGATCCAGAGACAGCCCTGCCCTGTTATCACGTTCTGTCCAGGTACGATCATGTTACCATGTCATCAAGTCAAGTCATTTTATAGATACATGTATGTCACATTTAAAAACAGCAGGAATTGAACCAAAGTGCCTCAATACAATACATAGTTAAAAAAATAAAAGGTGCGTAAAAGGCTTGACTAAAAGAGGAAAAGCTGGAACAACTAACATGATAAAAGTTGAACAAAAAGTAGAAAGTTAAGGGGAAATAGAATAAAGCTGAAAACAGATTGAATTATTTAGCCCCAAGAAACTCGTACTTAATGTGACTGTAAGAATGAAAACAGGTTTCACGACCCATTTGTCAGTCACTCATTTAAATATAAAGTCTTCCCCCGTGGTGATACTAATAAGTGGTATTTTAATCTTTTTCATTCCGCCTCCATTTTATCCTCTCCATCACAATTTTTTGTGTCTGACTCTGCATTGCGCTCTTTGTGTCCTCACTCTCCCTGTAGTCCATGGGTCGTGGAGTCCTTGGTCAGCATGGTCTGAGTGCGATGGGTGTGCTGGCTCGTCCACCCGCACCAGGGAGTGTAACAGTCCCCCCGCCAGGTTCGGCGGGCTGCCCTGTCTTGGAGAGAGCAGGCAGAGCCGCGGTTGCCACGACAACATCACTGTCTGCTCAGGTCAGCATAATAAAGGACTGTATAACTGTGCATTTATGTTGAGACGCATGCTCCAATTCAAATGGAGGTTACTAGATGGAAATGAGGATGAAATGAGGAATGAAGAAACTTAAGCTCTGGTGAAGCTCTAGAGAGAAGTTACGAGATGCCTCACAAGAAACAAGGTGACACCCATTAGGTAGTGAAGCCTGGGAGAGAGACAGAAAAGAGGCTGCCTGAGTTTAATTAAAAAGCCAAAAGGCCTATTAAACAGAAATAGCTGCCTGAAAGGGGAGACTAATGAACTCTGTGATTTTATTGAACCCTTCCTGCCCCTCCATGTCCAACTCACGCAGAATGAGAACGAGGGTTACTTATAAACATTTTCCAGCTGGTCTGTCTAGTTTCAAGTTTGCTTTTTGGTTGTGTAGTACATATTATTTGTCCAATATTTAGATACGAGATCTTCTCCTGGTCAAGACGGCAACATAATTAGTTCCCCATAATTTCTTTTTTCACATAATAGAGCACATATAAGCAACACAAAGAGAACCGTAAAAGAAGAGAGGCCCAGAGGCTATACCAGTGACAAAACACTTTCCAAGGTTTATGTAAAAGAGCAACATGTTTCCTTTAAGGCAGTTTGTAAAAGACCTTTAAAAGCATCCAAAGAAAAGAGCACTTCTAATATTGCATTTCTTTAAACCCCATCACTCCACTCTATCAAACTGTTTCCTCCTGCGTTCTGCAGACTGTGGAGGAGGCCAGGAAGAATGGCCCTGTGGGAAGCCCTGCCCTCGCTCCTGCTCAGATCTCCATGGTGACACAGAGTGCTTGGACTCCCCTGGGTGCAGGCAGACCTGCGGTTGTCCGGGTGACATGGTCCTGCAGGATGAAGTGTGTGTGGCCAGGCAGGAGTGTCGCTGCAAATACCACAACAGCTCTGCTACTGGTTAGATCCTCAATCTGTTCATGTGAAGTCTCTAGTGGAAGTTTTTACGTCGTATTATTAGTCTTATCAATAGATTTTTGTCCATGATATAGTTGGAACATCCAGCGGGTTGGATTCCAGTAATGCATCATGGGTGTGGCCTGGTGGATCTGACTGGCAGTTTGCAAATCCAGGAGACAGCATTATCAGTGACTGCAAAAACTGGTACAGCACAGCTAACTAGCTCCACGACAAAAATCTGTTCAGTCAAATTACGTCATTAAAGATCACGTCTTTCTCATTTTGTCTCAGTTCATGCGAGGCTGGGGTGCTGCAGTGTCAATCAGTCCCTGGCTGCTACGTCGATGGTGGCTGGAGCCAATGGGGGGCCTGGACTGAGTGCTCGCTTTCTTGTGGAGGGGGAGTGAAGCTCAGGAGACGCCAGTGTGATAACCCGTCCCCGCAGAGCAGTGGGAGAGGCTGCCTGGGAGTCGCTGAGCAGAAGAAAGACTGCAACATGCATCTGTGTGCAGGTAGTCCGGTCTGGTCAATCCAACGTAGAACTTTGAGTTTTTAGACTCAGACACAACATGGACAAAAATGTCTTTCTCTCAGTTTCTTTCATTTTCCTTGAAACAAATTCGTTAAGACGACTGTAGGTTTGTCCCTTGTATTTAGATAATCTAGTTATTTCTAAAATAGAAATACTGATTAAAGTATAATGATTATGATGAAGATCTAAACAATAAAGAGTTGCTCTGAATAGAATTAAATCGAAAAAACATATGAAGTTGTGTCCTATCTAAGTGTCTTTTGGTTTCCAGACTCAGTGGGCCCGTGGCTCCCCTGGTCTAAGTGGTCTCCGTGTTCAGTCAGCTGCGGCGGTGGACAACAATCCCGCTCTCGTGTCTGCAGCTCTCCACCCTGCAGCGGCCTCAGCCGTCAAAGCAAGACCTGCAACACCCAGGTCTGCCTCGGTGAGTCCCAGTTTCCTGTCTCCATGGCATCGAAGTTGGTTTAATTGCAATATCCAGGCTAACCTTGTAAGAAAAAAAGTTGCACATTGTTACAGACTGTCTCTATGCTGACATCTTGTTATTGTGCAGAAGTGGGCTGCCCACCTGGCAGGTTGTACAGGGAGTGTGAACGAGGTGAGGGCTGTCCGTTCAGCTGCGCTCAGGTCAGCGGCAGAGAGGGCTGCTACTCTGATGGCTGTGAGGAAGGCTGCCACTGCCCCCCGAACACCTACCTACATAATGGTGTCTGCATGCAGGTGGGTTCTGCAGCAACTTTAGCATTGTGACAAACACGTGGTATCGTGCATCTGAATAGAGCTGGGGTGATTCATTGACGTAATCTGCGTCATCGATTACAGTAGATTTAAAGAAAAGTAAACTGTGTCTGATCAAAGCATGGATTCCTTTGAAATACAAGCTGCAGCTGAAAAACCTCACCCACAAATGGGAAATGACTTCTCACATAGTTAAACTTCTCTGCACGGACGCTTAGAGCGAAAGCATCCTGGAGCACTTTGTTAAGACGGCAGCAGACAGCACCGTCCTGTTCACTCTTTGTCTCCATCTAGGTGTGATATATGAGGATTATGAACACATGCAACATGTGTCTGTTAGTAGTCACTTAAACGTTCTGATCCACTGCTAATGTCACGCCATCTGTCACCTAACATTATTCACGTTATATTTTCTGTTTACTTTAACAGCCATGCATGAGAAGGAGCTTAAACTGAAGCTACAGACAGACTGCTGTTAGAGGCTGTAAATCGCCTCTGTTACTTTCCTTACCCTGCACTGATGCAAAAATATATTTGTCAGTGATGATCTAAACTACATGTGACCCCAGTGATTAAATAAATCCATGTGAAAATGGCTTTAAGTTTGCAGACTGGTACACAAGAAAAGACACTGATTCAGTCCAGGAAAATGGCTCCTGTGATTTACAGTAATTAAATTAGTTTGAACTGGGTTTCAAGTCCTGTTTTTTTTCTGATCTGATAAGTGGGATCTATTTTTATTTTTATTTCATTTTCATTTTATTATTTTGTTTTATTTTCATTTTCATTTTTAGTCTTATTTTTCTTTTATTTTTATTTTATTTTCATTTTCATTTTTATTCTTATTTTATTTACATTTTTATTTTTATGTTTATTTTATTTTTATTTTTATTAATTATTATATGATAACAGTAATGCAGACATTAGACTAATTTCATAAAATGCTGCTATTATCTTTGTTTTTAGGAGAACTGAATGAGTTTCTGATATTTATTTTGGGGTAATTTTATTGTTACATTAATCAAATAATACCAAAATAATTTTTTGAATAATTGACAAAGTAGTGGTTAGATTAATCGGACTAATTAAAACAATAATCCTTACATAAATTGATAATAAAATAATTGTTAGCTGCAGCCCTACATCTGAATAATGCTAACATTAAAGCTTGTGTCACAAAAGGACAACAGGTTGGTGATTAACACACTCTCAAACCATTTTAGCTGTGCTAAAATGCATTAAATTAAATTAAAGTACCAATGAAGGTCTTATTTAACACTAACAAAAATATTTTTCTGATGTGATTCTACTGTTTGTTCCAGGAGTGTCCCTGCCTGGTGGACAAAGAGCTTCTGGCCTCTCTGCAGAGTGTTTCTGTCATGCCGGTCACATCTCTGCTGCTCCACAACATCTCTGAGGGAGTGGAACTCCAGTCTGGAGACACACTGGTCCATGACTGCACCACCTGGTGAGCAGAAAACCGTGGGAATATTTGCAGCTTCACTATATATCCCACACTGTTTTCTACTGCTGGACAACAAGGCTCCAAGTTGACTCTTCTAACTCTAAACCCGTCACCTTCCCGTCATCATCACTGCTTTCATAGTCAAACTCTTGAGACCACACCTCACCCCTTCCTCCCCTCTGTCCTGTAGCGGCTGTGAACACGGCAGGTGGAACTGCTCCTTGGAGCACTGCCCGGTCGATGGCGGTCTGTCACCCTGGGGCTCCTGGAGCCCCTGCTCGCTGTCCTGTGGAGGCCTGGGATTGAAGACTCGCTTGAGGGGCTGCACACATCCTGCTCCAGCGCATGGAGGGAGAGACTGCCAGGGGCCACGCCAGGAAACCACTTACTGCCAGGCCCCTGAGTGCCCAGGTACGCTACAGGGGGTCGTTTAGGCAGAGTAGGTACTGTATTTAGAGATGGAGGGAAAGATGACACACGATTAAAACGTCCAGCAGTCATTTGCAGCTGTTACAAATAACAGAGACTTGTGCTGAGTTTTTGCTTGTTTTTGGCAGTTATCATTGGTCCTACAGAAGAACCACTTTTACCAGGTAAATCATCCCCTCATGGTCTTTGCAACCTACTTGTATGATGCATGCTATTGTGGTTTGTAAAGTTTATTTTAAACCTTGTCTGCTGCCATCTTTTCCCTCATGAGACAAAAAAATTTAAACGACTGTGTCCTATTTACTCGTCTTTCGTCCTCTGTTTTCTTCAGACGAGGATGCTGGCTTCTCTCCCTGGTCGTTATGGAGCCCCTGCACTAAGACCTGCACTGACGCTCTCAGCCCGGCCATGAAGTCCCGTCATCGACAGTGTGTCAGACCTCCGTGCTCTGGAAGCTCTCACCAAGAGAAGGCCTGTAACCTGCCGCAGTGTTCAGGTAATCACATTATCTCCCTTTGCTGCTGGCAGCGTCTGTGATCGCAACCAAAATTTGTACCAGCCAGACATGAATTTCACAAACCATCTGTTTGCCTGCGTTGTAAAAAGGAACTCAATTATGTGCTGTGAGTGAAGGTGGCTGTGTGAACATGAAGCAAACTCAATAATGTTGCTGTGGAAAAGACTGCAGCACTTGTGATAAGATGAAAACTGCCACACCAGTGGATTATATCAGACGACAGAGGAGGAATATTTCTGTTATTAGGAGCCGGTGTGTGAGGGAGCAGTAAAATCTCCACACAGACCGAGCTCCATAGCATCTGTCGCTTTGCTGTTTGATACTGTTTGTGTTGTGGCTGGGTTTGTCGTTTCACTCCGTGCTTATCTCAGAGACGACAGAACAGACTTAGACTAAAGTGTTTGATTCTTGTGTAAAATATCCATTTCAACAGAGGGGGTAAACTGTAGTGTACACACACAAACAGAAATAACATCCAGAAAAGAATATGCGGTTTTGAATGTTTGTGAATGTGTGAACTGTAGGTCTGTGTTTGTCCCCACAACACACCAGGGAGATAATATAGGTTATGAACACAAGTCCAATGATACAGCTTTCAAATATTTAGGCTCTGTAGGCATCACTTTTAAATCTCAAATGAACTTTGGACCACATGTCTATAGTCTCATCAAATCCTGCCACTTCTACCTGAGAAATATTTTCAAAATCAAATCAGCTGTGTCTTTTCCTGACCTAGAAAACCTTACTCATACTTTTGTATCCTCGCACTTCGACTACTGTAACACACTGTCTACATGCTTCGGTAAATCTTCAGTAGCTCGGCTTCAACTTGTGCAGAACGCTGCAGCTCATATTTTAACTGGGACAAATTCTTGCCCCCTCCACTGGTTGCCAGTTAACGTCATAATTGATTTGGGGTTCCTTTTGATAACTTCTAAAGCTCAACATTGTTTAGCGTCAAGTTATATAGCTGAGCTTCTGACTACCTACGCTCCAAGTCGTGACCTGAGATCCTCAATCCCACCCTCTGCAGTCGTCCCTAGATCAAGGCTGGTAACTAAAGGTTCACCCCAATGCCAAATCTTGCATCCATGTTTCCCTCACCTGCGTCTCTTCCTCACATCTTAGCTCCGACCTCGTAAGACACAGGGGAGAGATGCAAGGAGAAAAGAAACCAGGAAGTATGTCTGTAGAAAAATGAGACATAAATGTCATGTGAAGCGATGTTGTTCTAATGACGGTGGCATGGATCAGCAGCTGTGAGCAGCTGGATCAGCTGTCAGGAGGCTGATTGTGAGTTCATTATTTAATAACCCTTAATATGATCACGATGTCTTTGAACACTGGAAATAATTTATTAGGTCAAATGTTTCATTGAAAATTCAAATTCTGTAACACATCAACCCGACAATCAGGAATGATCAGCCTCAGTGTGACTTAAATCTCTCTACTAAATGAATAAAGTTGTTTGTTCCCTTTTCTTGTTCAGATTTTTAACTCGATGGTGAATCAGACAACAAATAAAATACTAGAAAAGCACTCAGACAGTGTTGCCAGATCTCGCGAGACAAATAAGCAACCAGGCCTGTGAAAACAAGCCCAAAACAAGCGACTTTTTCTACGGAGCCCCCCTAGGTTCCGGTGAGAGAAAATTAAATCCATGGGGAAGGATTTTAAACTGTGGGTACAGATTGTCAATTTACACCCATGTGGACAGATAAGTAAACTGTGCGCAGTTATGCAAAACTGAAAATATCTGCTTGACAACTTATTATTGAGCTGGGAACAAGCCCAAATAAGCAACTACGCTTTAGAAACAAGCCCAAAAAAAATGCGACCCGCGACTACCAATATTTGTAAGCGACTTTACAGAAAAACAAGCCCAAAGTCGCTTATAATAAGGGGACTTGGCAACACTGCACTCAGAGAGTGCAGACCTCTGCCAAGTAGGTGATATTCCCTCCCCCTCTGCATCAGATTCTGCAGCCTGCATCACAATTAGGTTATTCATCACTATCATTATTAGGTTATATATGCCTTCACCATGGAGACACTGTGGTGTATTTAGCGATTAGCATTAGCTATTACCTAACGTTAGCCAACATTAGCGATTAGCTAACATTTAGCTAACTTTCGCTAACCGCTAACGTTTGTCAACCGCTAACGTTTGTCAATCGCTAACGTTATGCTACCTTTTGTAACGGCAGGAATAAACACAACTGTAAGAAAGAAATAGGCAACGTAGCCGTTTATGGCTGTTTAAAAATGTGCTGGCTCTAGTACCAGCTGAAGATGTCTTCAATGTAATCGCTAACGTTAGCCGCTCTTTTGTTTAAGCATGTGCATGACCAAAACATCAAGTTGGGAGGCAGTTTTAATCAACAGCAGCGTCTTGTACATACTGTGTCATTGAGTCAGGAAACCCCCATTCAGTCAGACGGTAGACTTTATGTATTCCTGACGAGCCCAAGTAGGCCTACTCGCCACTGCCAACCGGAGGCGCACGTCTGGTCATGGAATGAGTCTATTCTAAAACGTGGTGAATACACAGTAATTTCATCAAAATCCGTTCATAACTTTTTTAGTTATTTTGCAGACAAACAAACAAACAGACCAACGCCAGGGAAAACATAACCTCCTTAGCGGGGGTAATAAAACTTGGGAGTGATACATTTGAGTTTAATCTCTTATCTGTCTTCACTCTGTATGAAACTCCAGTGATGTTGTGATCTATCAGATTAGTCCGATCAGCTGCAGCGCTGTGCTGTCCAATCAATAACTGATATCCAATCCGGGGGGTGTGCCGGTTGGTAAAAGACTTCTGCGAAGGCTGCACTCGTGTATCCTTGCTTCCCTCCCCTCTGAATGCCTCCTCTCTCCTCGACTCCTCCTAGCGCATTAAGGAATTGAGACGTCCTACAAGATGGCGAGTCTCAACCGATTTCCAGGTCAAGTGATCGAGGATAGAGGAGTCGAGGGGGGATATCTGGATGAACCCTCTGCCTGAGGAGATGAGGCTGTCTAACACATTGCCTGTTTGAAATCATTGCTTGTTGTCTAATTTCTTTGCACTTAGTGAAGCACTTTGTAACTTTGTTTAGATAAGTGGTATACAAATAAATATTATAACTAAAACTGACATTTAAACTCAATAAATTGCTCATGTAATGTGACTGCATTACAGTTTTCACTTTAACAAACAGATATTACAACTTTACTGTAAATCGAGTGAACAGATGTTTTACTGTAATTATAGTAAACTGCAACAAGAGCTGTAAGAACAAAGATGAGATACCAGCACTTAAACCGAAGCATCACAATAATTAGACGAAGCTACACAGATATTAATTTACTAAAACGAGCGGTCTTGTGTCTTCTGCAATACGTCCCCAGATGGAGGCGATGTATGTGTGGGGCCAGACTGTGCACGGAGGAACTGCTCGTGGACAGAGTGGGGGGAATGGAGCTCCTGTTCGCGGTCCTGCGGAGTGGGTCAGCAGCAGAGGATCCGAACCTTCCTCAGTCCCCGCACCAACGGCTCGTGGTGTGCAGACATCTTGGGAGGAAACCTGGAGCATCGCTTCTGTAACATCAAGCCCTGCAGAGGTCAGAGTCGATCTGCAAATGTATGTCTTTGACTGTACATCTTGTTTTGAGCATAACTGGTAGGTTTGGGGATTTTCAAGTACATTTCTGTGTTGGCTTCATGTCTTGGCCCTGGAGGTTGCCGCTTGGGCAGAAATTAGCTGCAGGCCCCTAGTGACCCCTCACCCTCAAAATTCTCCCACACCCTGTGCATCGTTTCTTGTTTTAGTGGTAATTAGTAATCAGTTTGTCAGAACTTGATTAAGCACACGTTTACTGATGAAAGTGCACCATGTACACTATAAATAATAAAGAATAGAGTGGTGCAGGGGTGATACCTTTATGTAGGTCAACCAGGAAATTAGCGTTGCCCCAGTTCCCTCCACAAAAAGGTTGCACCTTTTTTTCATTAAGATAATCTCAACAAATGGCCGCCACTTTTAGGTGTTTTGAAGCATAAATGCAGTCACACAATGATCACATGACTTCAGTGTCACCACCAGAATGAGGGCGCGAGGACGGTGTTTGCTGCGATGGCGTTTAATGTCCCCAGCAACCTCTACAGTCTTAATTAACCTCTTGTTAGTAACCACCATTTTTAAGACATTGCAAAGCCTCAAAAATCATGAGTGGGGTTGTCACTGATGTATTTCATGTTGTAGAACAAAACATGAAAATATCTTAGTTTCTATTAACTACAGACGAGTAACTACAGACCTTATTTCAGGCATCTAGTTAGTTCAAATATACTCACTAATTTCCTGGATTTTAGGATCCATACCTGAACCAATCTATTAGATTTTGGATCCCTTATAAGACTGGCCCTCAAAATTAGATAATGCTGCTGTGTCCGTCCCTATCAGATCAGTTTATATTGTGCTTTAGTGAACTAATTTATAATTAAGGCAAGGCAGCTCTATCTGTATCGCTCATTTCATACAGCAGGGCAGTTCAAAGTGCTTTAGGGGCAAAGTCATTACAGGGTGGAGTAGGCAGTGTAAAAAAGGAATGTTTTTAGCTTTGACTTAAAAGTATTCAGAGTCGGGGCTGTCAAACATCTGGGAGGTTATTCCAGGTTTGTGCTGCATCGTGTAAGGATTTTAGAACTGGAGTAATGTGGTCATATTTCCTAGTTTTTCTTTGGCCCTTAGCAGCAGCATTCTGAATAACCCGAAGTTGCTGAACAGCCTGTTTTGATTGGCCTACAGGAAATAAAGGCATAGGTGATCCTCTCAAGGTCCTGCTTTGACATTATTCCTCTGACTCTAGCAATGTTTTTTAAATGGTAGCAGGCAGATGATGTTAGGGATTTGATGTGGCTGTGGCAATTTCAATCTGAGTCCAGGATGACACCAAGGTTTCTTGTGTGACTCTTAGTCATAAGAGAGAGGAATTTGAGGTGAGAGCTGACAATTATTATGTTGGTCTTATCTCTTTTGAAATGAAGAAAAATTTGGTGCATCCAATCACTGATTTACTCGATACAGTGACACAGATGTTCTACAGGTCCATAATCACCTATTAATGAAATGACTACAGAGCAGTTGCCACAAGGTGAACCTGGAGCCTTCCGCCCCCTGTGGGTCTGGGGATCCATGCTGTGTAAAAGTTTGGATAAACGCACCCTTTAGACCCGAATTCTTGCTTTAAAAATGGAATAAAAGAATTCCTGTTTAGTATAAAGTCTATGTGATTTGTAGAATAGTGTAAAACATGATAAGACACATGTAGTGTATTTTGATTCAGTGCTTTATGTTCATGTCTGTTTGTGTATTGATGTTGTAGTGGACGGAGGCTGGTCTCGCTGGAGTCCCTGGTCCCGCTGTGATAAGCGCTGTGGTGGCGGGCGCTCCATACGCACTCGCTCCTGCTCCAGTCCTCCGCCCAAGAACGGAGGGAAGAAGTGCCAAGGAGAGAAGAACCAGGTCAAACCCTGCAACACCAAACCCTGCGGTGAGACAGACCCAACATGTTCACACACACACACACACACACACACACACACACGCTCGTTGAGTTTAGATTGCTATGACCCAGAGGACAGTTCGTCCCGTGCAGAGAGAAATTTACTAATTTATTCAGCACGTGGCTGTTTTTCTAGGTAAGTCTTTGTGTTCAAAAAGTCAGCACAGCCTGTGATCAGCATTCTTGGTGAGGCACGTTGTGCGAGGAAAATGCCTGCAGCATCATGGGAAAATTCATGACCTTCTGTTTGTGTATTGTCAGATGAGAAAGGCTGCCCGGCGGGCCAGGAGTTCGTGTCGTGTGCCAACCAGTGTCCACAGCGCTGCGCAGACCTCCAGCAGGGCATAGAGTGCCAGGGCAACACCGAATGTCAGCCCGGCTGTCGCTGCCCTAAAGGCACTGAAGCTGCTATCATTTTACTAACAGATAAGCGTGTGTGTGTGTGTGTGTGTGTGTGTGTGTGTGTGTGTGTGTTTGTCTGCATATCTGACTGATTCTTCCCTAAAGGTTCGGTGCCTGCTGGTATTCAAAAGATAAGCACCATATAGTGTCTGTGTGTGTGTGTGTGCACAAGCTGTATCTGAATGAGTCTGGGTGCTGTTAACCCACAGTTCAAATAAACCTTGTAAAGGGACAGTTCATCTAAATTACAACACTATCTAACATGTAATTTAAAGAGTTTCTTGTCAAAATTCTGTTAGGTTGGAAAAAGGTTTGCATTTTTGGGATGTTGGACTCGTGACCTCAGTGTTTCTAAAATCCTGACTGTCCCCAGATTGGATTTTTTTTCCTACCAAAACATATTAATCATCAAAACTGTTCACAATTTTTGTGGATAATGAGCCCATCGTTTTTAAAGTGCACATAGCGTTTTTAATTTCACGTATTTCAGAGGTCGCTAAGGCCCTTAAACAGCTGCTGCAGTGGAATAATGGCATCTAACACAACCCGTATGTCTGTTCATTAACATCGTACATGTTTTAAATAACTAATGTGTGTGTCCAGGCCAGTTGCAGCAGGACGGAGTGTGTGTGCAGCTGTGGCAGTGTGACTGCGTGGACTCCCTGGGACAGATTTGGGCGGCCGGCAGCTGGCATCAGGTGGACTGTAACAACTGCAGCTGCTCCGATGGACAGCTCCTCTGCACCAATCACAGCTGCCAGGCCACCTGCATTTGGAGCTCCTGGTCCAGTTGGGCGTCGTGCAGCGTTTCCTGTGGGCAGGGCCAGAGAACCAGATACAGGTGAGGAGAAGATTCATTTAAGGTATCTCTCAGAGGAATGTATTTCCTCATAAAGAGAAATAAACTATGTCTCTGTTGTGTGTCAGGTCCCTGATCCCAGAGACCGAAGGCGCAGACTGCCAGTTCGAAGAAGTCCAGCATAAACCCTGCGACCCAGGACCCTGCCCACCTCTCTGTCTCCATGACAACCAGGAGCTGAGAGTGGGGGACACCTGGCTGCAGGGGGAGTGTAAACAATGGTGAGATGGATGCACACAAACACAGAGGGAAAAGTATATTATGCTGATGAAGTGTTTGCAGCAAACAGGAAATGAGCATTTTAAGGATTCTGCTTTGTGCTTCAAACACTCATTTGTTTTGCCTCCCAGCACGTGCACCCCAGAGGGAGATTACTGCCAAGACATTGACTGCAGAGGTGGGTGGCTGCAATTATTTTAAAGACAAAGAGTAGATGAAGCAGGGTGAATGTGGTAGAAGAGCATGGACACTGTTGCAGACGTGTTCGACTTAACATTCAGCTTGCATTACTAGCTAACTTTTGAAAGAGAATATCCACATTTCCATTTGACAGGAGAGAATCTCACATTGCGTGACATTGTTGCCTCGTTCTTAAAAAGTTGACTGACATGCTGCTAAGTTGCCTTCAAAGATACAGTGAGTGTCGAAAGGCCAACTCCTGTGTGTGTTTCCAGTGGACGGAGGTTGGACGCCATGGTCAGTGTGGTCTGACTGCTCAGTGACCTGTGGTCGGGGCACACAAGTTCAAACCCGCGCCTGCATCAACCCGCCTCCACGTAACAACGGGTCTCACTGCAGCGGGCCGGACAGAGAAACACGGGACTGTCACGCTCCTCCATGTCTGGGTGTGTACAGAAATGCCACAGCTATATTCATACATTCAACAAACTGTGTGTGTAATCTCGGAGGAATGGTGTCAGCAAAAACTGGATTGTGAAGTAATTAAATACAGCTCACAGTTGCCCTCGTCATATTGACCTTCTTGTCTACAGATGACCTTTGCCCCTGGTCACCATGGTCACCATGTTCCCGGAGCTGTGGCGCAGGTTCTGTGTCACGGCGCAGGGTGTGTGTGTGTGAGGAGGGAGGAGATGCAGCGTGTCCCGCTGAGGTTGAGGCTGAGAGGAACAGAGAGGAGACCCAGCTGTGTTACAAGCAGCCCTGTCCAGGTAAAGAGACGGATGCTGCTTTTGGTTGTGGTCAGAGTGTGTGTTGCGCTACAAGGAAACAAGGTCCTGTTTGTGGTCTGATGATATTAAATATTTCTGTGGATAAAAAACATGATAATTAGAGTAACAGATTTCTATTTGTAAATTGAATGCCTTTGTAAAGCGGCGCACACACCTCAGTGTTGTGTTCAAATATTCATATATTCTAAATAATTTAATATGTACATGTTGACGAAAATAATGAGCTTGACCTGGTTTGATCCACGCCTGGGTTGAATCAGGTGAAGTCTATATTTAGACCCTCTCGGTCACATGCTCATTATTGACCTGATGCAAACAGACTGCTGATAATTGTACTTACTGTACATAAATAATATGTTTGGAAGCATCTGTTTAGTGTGTGTTTGCCTTTTTGTCTTGAGGCAATACAATGAGACATTCATTAAAAAGAGCAGTGTGTGTCGCAGACAGCAAATTTACATTATTATTAATATATTTAAATGTTGGCAAGAAAGATCGTGTTGTGTTTATTCCGAGGCTGGACTAAAATTAGATTGCAGTCACATTTACCTCAATAACAATAAATGTAATGTTCTTTAATACGACAGGTGCTTAATCCTTTCTTGTATATGCTCACTTATTATATATGTATTTATTGTGTTAACTTAATTGGTTTGCCATTCAATAATCCAATTAATAAGATGTATTTTCCATCACTGTCCTCGGCTAAATTGAGCAGTTGATTAATAAAATGATTGATTTGATATTATTGTGCTATTTGTCGCTGTTAGTGTCAGATCAGGATGGCTGCTAATTGAATTTTTCTCTCTGCTTAACGTCACCATGGCAGCTGATGCCAGTAACACGGCGTCTTATTGATTGTAAAAGAGGATAGCCTAATGATTGGTGTATAAATAGATCTGATTCACTTAGCAGTAGACTCATCAGGCCCGACTCTGGGTCACATGAGTACAGGCTGCTCCACAGAACATAACGGGTTTGTTTAAACCTGTGTGCAGCACCAGATTGGTTGATTTGTTTTTCCTCCGCAGGCTGTCCCATGTCGGAGTGGAGTGTTTGGTCTCAGTGCTCCTGTGAGTCTCAGAGGCAGCAGCGCTACCGTGTAGCTCTCTCTCCAGCCACTAGGGGGCAACAGTGCACTCCTGTTGAGACACAGAGTAGGACGTGCAGTCTCAGTCAGTGTGATGGTGAGTTAACAACCATGGAAGAAAATGCATGTGAGTGCATAAAGAGGCCTGTTTGTCTCATTGTTCTTGTGCTCAAGATGCACTTGAATGTTTTATTTCATGGAGCTTTGCCTCCAAATGTTCACACAGGGAATCAAGCACCCCTTTTTTCGAGCGCATACATGTAATTGAGTGTGTGTGAGAAATTGATTTTATTCATGTTGATACTGTTCGTGATCTACTTCATGTTTTTTCTCATATTTATAGATTGTGAAGCCCCATTTGTGTACTCAGCATGTGGGGCGCCTTGTGAGAAGCAGTGCGCTCTCCAGGGCCGTGGAGATCTGTGCTTAGGCGTCAGAGAGTGTACACTGGGATGCTACTGCCCACAGGTGAGTTTTTCATTCGCCCTTGTACCTGGTCTTTGTGGTTTCTGACAATTAGCATTGCAGGTGAGATTAATCTTTTACTGTAAAGGTAAAGGCACCATCCTGATTGCAAGTAGTGATGGCCAAATGAAGCTTCATTAAGCATTTTCTTCATTTTCTAGGCCATCTAGATGGCTCATGGAGAGAGAGGCTCAAAGAATGGTAATTCAGTGTGCTTTCAAAAACAAAAAGCGCCATCTAGTGGGCTCATAAAATAAAGAAAACGCTTCATGAAGCTTCGTTTGGCCATCACTAATTGCAAATAATTGAGAGCAAATGTGAGTCAGACAGTTTAATATGATGATGCAAAACGAACTGATATTTGTGATGTGTTTCATGTGTCGCAGTGGCTTACACACCTTGCAGTGCACATTTCATATCACATTATATTATATTAAATTTGAATACACATGATGTAAAAGAGAGCGATCAATAATATTCAGACTGCTCCTTTTGCCATCTGCATATAAAATTTGCTAGACTTTGTGCGTATGTTTCTGTGTGAATCCAGGGCAAAAATATACTGACATGAATTTAGAACGTGAAATATGTTGTGCTACATATTGCTGTTAATCACTTCGGTGTGTGATGACAGTGATGACAATTTAGTGATGTTGTTTGGCCGAGTTTGGGAGCCTCCAGCTTTGATTTATTGCAAAAATCCTCTCTGATAGACTGATGATACGCCCATACAGCAGCAGCGAGGGGAGATAATGAAATATGGAACAGAAAGCAGATCTCCAGTGATGTTACACGCCAGTTACCATAATTCATTCAACAAACATGAATTACTTTTACAGCACGTCGTTCACTTGCTGTAATGTTTTTCTGGCCACTTGGGTGCACAACACCACAACATTGACATATCATCACCACCTTTTGAGTTGACATAGCAAACATTCGTGTCCTTCTGATGAATGTCAGTACCATATTCTCTCTCTTCTAGCTCCCTCTTTGGTCTCTACCAACTCCTGAGGGAAATATCTGCCTCTTTAGCTGCTAAATGCTCCACTAAGTTCACCAGCTAGTTGTTGACTGTGTCTGTCTGCAGTTCGGGCCTAAGCGGGTAGTGTACAGTGGGTTTTTAGAGTGTTCAGTCAAGCTGAACAGCTGTCTTCTGGGACCAAAAACAGCACTGTGAGAGCAGTGAGGCTGAACCAAAAGAGTAAAGTTGCAGCCGGAGAGCTACACAATGAGCTGAAACTCACTGTAAAGCTCCATAAAACAGAGGGGAGCTACAGATTGTCTGTTGGGTCATCACTATGAGCAAGCCCTTTCACACTGTCACATCTGACACACTGTTATTGGAAAAAGTTTGATTATTGCTGCCTGTAGCTGCAACATAATCGCATTAAATGTTTTACAGTAAGACTGATTTGCCTCGTGTAGCATCAGTTAACATCTCTATAAACATATATATTTTTTTTAATTCTGTGTTTTCCCTTCTAGGGTCTGCTGCAGCAGAACGGTAGTTGTGTTCCTCCAGAGGAGTGTGGCTGCGTCCACCTGCAGCACCACACTTCAGGACGGCCACCCACACCTGTGTCTGTCCCTCGGGGAGCCACGGTCACCATAGGCTGCAGTACCTGGTCAGACCCTGGCTGTTAAAAAACATATGAAGCCATGGCAGAGGGCCTGATGTTTTCTGTTTATTTCTGTTTTATTTTTAAAGTTCTACAAGACAGAAAGTTTGAGAAACATTTGTAAATAAGTGATAGTGACCGTGTATTGATTGTGTTGCTGCAGTGCCAAGCTCTGCACTGACACAGAAGAAATTTCAGTATGGACTTTTTTAGGGACTGCTGCCGTGACTATTTGTGCCTCAGTGCTGCATCTTTTCATGGCCTGTCTGCTGACATATTGTTATTGTGACCTGTTTCTCTGCTGCAGCCTTTGCCATGACGGAAATTTGCAGTGTGACATGAGAGAGTGTGAAGGTGAGAAAGCTGAGTAAAGAGAGTAATGGTAGGAGCTCATGGTTGAATAATCCCATCATCCTGTTACTCCTCTTTTTCCCTTATCTTCTTTTAGTCATCCTCAGTGAGTGGTCAGAGTGGACTCCCTGTTCCCCCTGTGTGCCCTCCTCCTCCCTGCAGCACAGCGACTCCCATGCAGGAGTTATCGGTGGCAGTAAAATGGTCTCAATCCAGAGGCGTTTCCGGGCTTGTTTGGACCTGGATTCTGGTCTTCCAGTCTCAAGGGAGGAAGAGGAGAACCAATGTCCAGGACCACTGGTAGAGGAGAGGCTCTGCCCGGATGCTAACGTCTGCAGAGGTAATGGTGTCTGTCCAGGAAGACAAAAAAAGGTTGAGTGAGTCCTTTATCTCAGTCCAGAAATGCAGTCAATTCCTCAGTCTGTCCTTTGTCAAGCTCCAGTTGCTCCTCTTACAACAAAGTGAGTGAAAGTAATGAATGGGACAGTTTTGCTCCACCCGAGTTCCCCTCACCATATTTGATATTTCCCATCAAAAGATTGTATGTAGACAACGCAGTGAACCAGTGAGAGCTCGACAAGCATGGCACCATAAAAAAAAATGAATCACAGATCAGGTCAGAGAGTGTGATGATGAAATGACTCCAGCATGGCCCTCTTTTCAGAGGAGAAGGAAATGCTGTCATGTCGAAGTACGGGTAAAATACAATGCAAGGCAAACGTATTTGTACAGCACCTTTCAACAACCAGGAAAATCAAAGTGCTTTACATAAAAAGCATTAAGACAAGTTGTGTAAGAGACACAAGCCGACATAAAAACATGTCTATAAAGAATTCATAGGCTTAAATTGAATAAAACATAAAAAGGGAAAAAATAAAATACAGTGCAGTTACACTCCAGTGGGAGATATGAATAAATAGGTCAGAATACGATTCAATAAAGAGCAGTTGAAAACAGACATATTAAAAAGCCTGTCATTCACTAACAGAGTTCGAGCAAACTTTTTGTTTGTTCCAGGTATTAGGTGCTTAAAAATGCTGCTTTTCCATGTTTAGTTTTGACCCTGGGAATAGTAAGTACACCTGTCTCAGAAGACCAGGGATGTTGGTTCATATCAGAGATGTATTTTAAACTATTGAGTAAAAACTGATTATTATGTGACAGGCAAGAGGCCACTGCCTCTGGACTGATGGATTCAACTAAATGAGGGTGAATGACCTGCTGAGGCAGAATACAGTGGTGCAGGAATGAGTCCTAAAATGTGGGAATTAGTCAGCATTTTGCAATTCCAGTTCCCTCCCTTAGTGTAGTTCGTTTATAGTCTAAAGTTACCGTTTTACCTCTGGCGATTACATTTACACTAGCTTACAAACTAATGTCAGCTTACCTGCTAATAAAGACTGTGAAATTTGATGTTACTGGTACATTTTCCAATAGCATTAAATATGATGTTATTGGTACATTTTCTATTTTCTAATACCGTTAAATTTGATGTTATTGGTACATATTCCTTTTTCCAATTACCGTTGAATATGTTATTGGTACATTTTCCAATAGCGTTAAAGATGTCATCACAGGTACATTTTGCAATACCTTTAAATATGATGTTGTTTTTACTTTTTCTATTTTCTAATACCGTTAAATGTGATGTTATTGGTACATATTCCTTTTTTCAGTACTGTGAAATATGATGTTACAGGTACATTTTGCAATACCTTTAAATATGATGTTACAGGTACATTTTGCAATACCTTTAAATATGATGTTATTGGTACATTTTCCTCTACAGTTAAACATGATGTTATAAGTACATTTACCAATACCGTTAAATATTATGTTATTGGTACATTTTCCATTTTTAGTACCATGAAATATGTTATTGGTACATTTTGTATTTTCTAATACCGTTAAATATGTTGTCACTGGTACATTTTCCAAGTATGTTAAATACAATGTTATTGGTACATTTTACGTTTTCCAAAACCGTTAAATGTGATGGTTTTGGTACCATAGCCCTACAAAATAAATAATTTCGATCAATTAATCACAGAACAAATAAAGTCTTAAAAAATTACGCTGATTAGTCACGTGCCGTGGTGCCCTTTGACCCGGTGCATCATTAAATGCCACAGTGGCTTTGTCTCAAAATGGAGGCAGACGAGATGACGCTGCTCGGCCCCGCGAATGGTACGTTTACATTTAAAAAACACCCAGAGGGAACTTTTGACAGGAACGCTGTTCTCTTCCAGTTCTTCGGTAAATAATTTTCGCACCGTCTGAGAACTTCAAGCCTGAAATATCACGTCACCGCGAAGCATTTAGCAGCGAACACGGAGGTCCGAGCTAACACAGCCTCTGATGCTAACGCTAGCAGCTAGCGTCGTGAAGCAGCCACGAGCCGCTGATAAACAGCCCTCGAGACTGTTTTAGTCGTTGCCAAGGAAACGTTCGAGCGACGATGACATACATTGTAACTGTCCTATCATGACCGCTCATCTGTCCGTGCAGATAATGAGATATAAATGCCATGCTTAGCGTTGTTTTAGGAGTGAACGTATAACATGTAGACTGTAGACATTCAAATACAGAGATGCTTGGAAATAAGGACTGAGCTATGATTAAATAAATCGGGTTGGCCTGTTAGTTACATCAGAAGATCTTCTTTTGTTGTTGTTCTGCCACTTTTCTAGCTTAAATATTTGGCATTACTCTGAGCAACCTGTAGGGTAGGCTGCAATAATACAATGCAATTTGATTTCCCCTCTAATTTTTATTTCTACATATTTATGTATCATCATGTTGTTGAATATTATTTCTGTCTTACACAAATCAAGTATTGTTTCAATAGGGTACAGTGACTATTTTACGTAAACATAACTTTCATTTTTTTAGTTGGCTTTTGAAAAATCAATCAATCAGTTTTATTTATAAAGCCCAATATCACAAATCACTGCCTCAGACGGCTTTACAGCATACAACATCCCTCTGTCCTTTGGACCCTCACAGCGGATAAGGAAAAACTCCCCAAAAAAACCCTTTAAGGGGAAAAAAATGGTAGGTGGTGTGGGCAATTAAAACCGTGAAGTCTGCTGAAGTCTGCACCCCAGACAGACTCTCTGGAAGTTTGCAGATTCTTGGATTCAACCTTGATGTCACTCATGTGTGAGTGTACCTTAAATCTTTGTGAGAGCTTAAGCAGCATTTCTGTACGAGATGGAGCTTCTTGATTGACTGAGAGACACATGTAAAGACACCATTACAGTAGCTGAGCCTGGTAAGGATAACCCATGGACAGGTTTTTTTAAATCCTGCGGGGACATAAGAAGTTCAATTCTTGATATATTCTTATAGTCACTTGATGATATTGTTATGTTAACTTGTGTGTCGTTGACATAATTATAGTGGGATGTTTTGTTATGCACAATCTGAGCTTGTGGGGATGGTTTTAGAGGTTGCGCGGAGGAGGCCCGAGAACAGTGCCTTGAGGAACTCCGTTTCTTTTTGTTTACTCAGATGTAGAATTACAGAAGTAAGATTCATAGCAGATTGGGAAAGTGGCATGAAGTCACATACATTTTCCAGTACAATTGGATAATTTTAACTGTTAATATATGGTTTGAGGAGCATTTAAAACAGAAAAGAAAAAACAGATTATTTTCTTAGAATCTCTTGAAAACAAATCTGTAGTGTGGTACCACATTGTCCTGTGAAAATGTATTGGGTGTCAATTTCCAGCTGCCAGTTCAGATTGATAGTTACCATCAGCAGGTCGTTTAAGCGCTTGTAATCAGTACCCACAGTGAAAATGGCATTGAGCATCCCCACTACAATATTGTCATTATTTCCCAAAGGAGTGAAAATGGAAAAGGGATTTGAGGAAAGGAAGAGTTAGATGTCCATGTGTCTGTGGGGATACATATTGTAAAGATGATTGGATTTGGTGGCATGTGTGTGCAAAGAATGATTCGTCCTGAACTCTGTCATCGCCCCATGCTTCTCTGGTCTGTCCCCTTTGGATACGAATGGGAATGTCTCTGAATTACTACCATGCCTAATGGACCTTTGCACGTCAGATATTTGAAATCCTTTATCATAGTTAGACTGCATATGTGAAACTGCTCAGTGAGGATGAACAGATGTTTTATTTACTATGGTGTGAATAAATACAACAAAACAACACATACAAATCAGACATCTTACCAGTGCAGCCATGCTTGTACATAAGTCCATAAACAGTAAATATGCTTTCGTTATCGTGGATGATGATTACTACAATTACAGCTATTACAGTAGTCATCATGGTAATTATGGTCATTATAATTAGGACGAGAACAGAGTTGATGGTGGTTATGATAATCATTCTATCCTTCCAGATCTGTGTCAGTGGAGTGTCTGGAGCGCCTGGACAGCCTGTGCAGAGCCGTGCAGCGGTGGAGTCAGGCAGCGCTTCAGACGGCCCCTGGCCTCTCCTCCAGGACCCCGCTGTAAGAGCCAACAGACACAGAGCCAGAGCTGCAACACAGGACTCTGCCCAGGTACAACTGCTCCTTTTTTAAACAACTCACCGGACTTAGACATAAATCAACATAAACACAAAAGAAGTTAACAGAAAGAGAATTTTAAGTGGGAATGATTGATTTTCCTTGTTTCCCAGGTGAGCGCTGTGAGGACAGGGGGCGGACCTACCAAGAGAGCTGTGCCAATCAATGTCCTCGCAGCTGCACTGATTTATGGGAGCATGTGCAGTGTCTCCAGGGAGCCTGTCATCCTGGTAATAATGGACTTCTTACATGAGCAGTAGCTTAAGGCCCTGATCACACAGTAAGCGTTTTAGCAGCTGGAGGCACATTTTTGTAATTGTTTTTAATTGCTGTAAGCTCCTGCCGTTTTTGCTAGAACGCTCTGAACTCCTCGAGTTGGAAAAACGGAAAGCGGAAGGAGAAACTGGTGGTAGCGATTGGTGGATACCCAGAGCTACTAGGCCCAGCAGGTTGTCAAACTGTCCCGGAGTCATCCTAAAATAAGCCTGGAAACGTCCATCACGGAGGAGAAGCTCCTGGACCAACTGGTGGTACTCCCCATGATCCACTCTCTTTTTTAGGGTCTCATGTACCCACACAGATCTCTGTTTATCTGCTGACAGCCTCTCACCCTCAACCAGAGCTACAGACAGTACCCTCTGCCTCAACATGGCAGGAACTACAAACTAATTACTGTCAAATAACTAAGATATATAAGTAAATGGTAGATTGGTTACGCAGTAAGGTTAGAATAAGGAGGTGAGGTTGTGGTTGCCTGGCAACAATAAAAAGGCGCAGCAAACGTTTTTTTTTTCGCTAGTGGCATCCAATTGGAAAAAAAAGACACTTTCTGTGTGGTCGGGGCCTACAGTACAACATTCTGTTATTTCTGGCCAGCAGAATATCTGTTTGTCTATTTTTATATTTCCCTTTCTTCATTTTACTTTTATCTCAGGTTGCCGGTGTCCGCAGGGACAGCTGCTGCAGGACGGCCACTGTGTGCCAGTGACAGAGTGTCGCTGTGGTATCCCATCTGGCAACGGGACGCTGGAGTTCGTCCCTAAAGAGGAGCTTTCCATGGACTGTAACACCTGGTGAGAGCAGCTCTGTGTGAAGTTTATTTTTAGATGTGAGAAGTCAAAGCTACAAGTTTGAGCTTGTAAAAAAGGATGTCTCACATTAAGAGCGGACTTTATAGCCTGTTGGTCTGATATACTTGTATCTAGGGTGTCTTTCTTTTCCTCTAAGCATGAGATCAGCTTGTCTCTCACACCTCTACAAACACCCATCTTTCTGCAGTGTGTGTGAAAATGGGACTCTGGCGTGCACTCAGCTCCCCTGCCCGGTTTATGAGCCCTGGAGCCCATGGAGCTCCTGCTCAGTCTCCTGTGGGCGTGGCCACATGACAAGGACACGCCTTTGTCAGGACGCAGAGGGAGGCCCTTCCTGTGCGGACATCATGCAGACAGAGAGCTGTGATCTGCCATCGTGTCCAGGTTTGACGATGAACATGTACCCACGTGCACAACTGAGAAGGTCCTAAAATGTTTCACACCATACCAGCTAAACTGAGTGTTAAAGGAGCACATTTAACTTACTGAATGTTTCTGTGTCCTCTCTCTGTCTCTCTCCAGTGGGATGTTTGTTGAGTGAGTGGTCACCCTGGAGTGAGTGCAGCGCCACGTGTGGCGGCGGGGTGTCTTTGCGGAACAAGACGGTCCTGAGGGAGCCTGAGCCTGGTGGGATGACCTGTGTTGGACCACTTGAACAGCACACTGTCTGTAACACCAACAGCTGCCTGCCTGGTAACACCAATACACACAACTTTAAAATTTGTAAACTGTGTACACTTAGGTTCTATATTTCTACCATGCAATATAATTCCTCAATTCTACTAAATAAAGTGGTTGGCAAGCAGCTCAAAGGAACTTTAATTAGCTGTATTTTGTGTTAATTTATTTTTAGCACTATGTAGTCAAAGGTGTGACCTTTAATGTGACTGAGACAATCTGTTCCTAAGACACAGATTGTTAAGTGTGCATAGAGAATAAAAACAGAAGCATATGTCTTTGTATTTAAATATATGTTATACAAAATGTACATCTATATATGTTAATGTGTCTATGTGTGTTGCAGAGTGTCCCAGCGGGCAGGTGTTTAGTGACTGTTCAGGTTCGTGTCCACATACCTGTGAGGACCTGTGGCCACACACTCAGTGTTTACCTGGACCCTGCACCCCTGGGTGCACCTGCTCTCCTGGACAGGTCTGGACACCTGTGTGTGTGCACATGTGTGGTTGGATAGCTGTGGTAGAATTTTAAGATCTAATTCCTCCCAGTCTCATTGTTTCCCTCCTAGGTGTTGCACGAAGGCTCCTGTGTGTCCCCCGCTGACTGCCCCTGCTTGCCGCTGTCCCTCCCGACTGGTTACCACAGCTGGAATATCAGCAGTGAGGAGATCACAGAGGCTCTGCTGCCACCTGGAATGGCCATCCAGCACCTCTGCAACACATGGTAATACACTACACATGGTTTCATCCATTTATTCACTGTTTCAATTGTATTTTTAACCACAGCAGGCAGACTGTCCTGCACTTTTTAAATCTGGACCTGGTCTGCTGTAGTAGCTTTAAATGGTCCTTATGGGACTTAAGTGCCAGACTAAACCTAGTCAAGCCTCACACAGACCAAGAGTGCTTTTGTTTTTTCAGGCTGCGGCTAAGACAACTCATTCCTAACTTCCATTAATTACACAACTTACTGCATTGAAGCAACTGTTCATGTCCTCCAGATTCAGCTGTAAGAAAGCTGCATTTCTTGGCCACATTTGAAAGAGTCTCTGACATATTGTATGCGGACTTCAGAGTTCCAGAGTACACCTCTGATTCTTTATGCATTGAGATGGGAGAGCACAGAGAACAGGATTAGATATGAGTATTGTTGACTATGCCTTCTACTGGATTTGCTGAGGTTTATGCGATTTGCAGTGTCAGATTTGTTTGAACATTTTTTTTTGCCTGTTAAGAGAAGCTGCAGTGGGTGCCTGAAGGGCTGAAAAACAACGATTGTAGTGGGAGAAACTGATATTAAACTCTACTCCATAAATATGCGGCAGCAAAGGTGAACACAACAAGTAAAAGTGCATTTTTAAACACCATACTGAGTCGTGATGGATGGCTGTGTGTGGTCAGTGAACTTGACTTTCACTGAGGAGCTAATGCACTGTGATGATTTAATTATATTTTTTTATTTGTATGTTTACACTGAGGTGGCTTAAATTGTTTATCATCAGCATTGCCTCTGTTTTCATGTCCTCATAAATGTGTCCTTTTGCCTCTTAATAAATTGATTCCTGCATATTAATGTTTCATCCATGCCATCTCATTGTGGCACGTTTGTAACTGTGGCTGTGCTTCTTTATCCATTGATTGCAAGTCCACATGAAACAGATATTTAGACTTATTTTTAATAATCAAGCAGGATCACATGAGAGGGAGTGTTATGGTCCTGAACATCAGCTCTGCTGTGATTCAGTCATATGCACGAGGCCGCAGTTCTACAAGCGCTATTATACAATAGTTCTACAAGGGCAATTTATTAGTTCACAGTAATCTGTGACAATAGGTTATGATTTCTTAGTTTACTGATTGATTTATTTTGCACTGCCAACACAGATTTTTCCGCAACTGGACTGCAGCCAAGCAACACTTAAACATTCCTGCACAATGACTTGCTGCTTTGTGTATGTCCACACGTTACTGCGGGCCAGCTGCTTTGTATCATGTACATTTATGTGTATGTTTCCATTTATTGTGCAGCCAGTGAAATATGAGTCTGCTGACAGTTGATTTGGTGGCATGCGTGTCATTCCAGTTAGTTAACAGCTCGATCAGATGGGTGATATGACACCTGGAGGTCTGCAGTGAAGTATCCAGGCATCTTCCCTTCCCTTCGTTCTCATCAGACAACCATTATTGTTATTTCAAGATGTTCATCTTTACAGTGCAGTTTATTAGGACGACCTTTAATGTAGGCTAATCATCATAAATGTGATTAACGGTTCAGAACACCTGTAAAGCAGGGTGATGCATGCATATCTAAAAGTCCCAGTGATGTATACCCCATCAGCACTCATTTAGTGCCTCTCAGCCAATCAAATGAATTGGTTGTAACAAACTGTTGTGTCATATGATTTATTCTTGATTACTTGTTTAGCGGCATTGTACGAATTAAAGATGCAACATGCATTAAGAGATTGCTCATCTATAGTGATCATTTCGCAGTTATTTTTTAAACATTGTCATTAATGTAATTAGTCTCACCCGTTCAGTCAGTAAAGAACATTCAGGGCCTGTCCCATTTCTAACCCTTAAATCTTCCACTTGGTATTGAGTGCCCTCATTTGCGAGATAACCCTTGATGAGGGAAGTGAGAAATGTTAGGGTGGAGAACTTTCCCTAAGAAATGGGACATCACTTCATGCAAATCAGTGTGGCCGACGTGCATACAGGCATAGTAGACGTGCAGGCATATGTCACGCGTAGTAGCGACGCAAGATACCGGTAACCATTCAGGTTTGAAAATGCCGGCTCCTACGATGTCTTCTAGTTCTGATCGGTTTTGTTCGGGTAAGTCGATTTGTTTAAACATTTTGACGCTGTGTTCAACCCAGTTGCTGATGAGCAACTAGTCCAACCATCTGTTGTTTGTATAGCCTACATTCCAATTGTACAGGAACAAATTGTTTTCCAAAACATGCCGAAGTTGCTGACTTCGCAAGGTGTTCTGGGAAATTCCATCTTCCACTTCGTTATAAGTGTGGGTCGGGGCTCCCTTGGAATCTAGGGCGGGTTTTAAGTGTTGGAAACCACTTCCACTACCTCAATTCTGTTTTGGGACACCACTAGCCTAAATGTGAACGCGCACAACCAAGTGCAAGTGGGTATTTCTAAGGGAAGTGTGGGTATTGGGACAGGCCCTCAAAGTCCCATGTTTGACATTCAATCTCAGTAACAAATATCATTATCATAATAATCATTGTTAAGACTTTAGTGTCATTAGTACATTATGTAAGATCCAAAAACAACTAATATGAGATATCAGTTTTCTGATCTTCCACCACTGCGATTGACTTTAGTGAAGTTCAGACAACTAAAACTACTTTGTTAATGTTAGGGGAAGACTGTGGTCATAAGAAAATCAACACTACTGTCGGTAGAAGATGGGATTCAAACTGCAGCCTCAAAGTCAGACGCTTTGTGCACCTGTCTATCCTGACCTCCAGTCTTTATTTTAGCTTCAAGTATCTCTTCAGAGATGTATTAGTAATAATAGTGAAAGGTGTCAGTGAAGATTGAGTTTCTTGAAGACAGTTCGCCACAAGCCGAGGTGAAACGTCTTCAAACAACTCAAGCAAGTCCAGTTGCCTACGATATAGCACTTATGATTACCATGACCTGGATGACTGAGAATCTTCACCTACATGTTGCCAATCAATTTAGAAGAACTGAAGAAGCTTCTTGGATGAGAGGCGGAACATCTTCAAACAACTCAAGCAAGTCCAGTTGCCTACGCACTTATAATAGCAAAAGCCCTCAACCTAAGGCGAGACCTAACAAACTGTCTTTGCAGCCACATGCACAGAGGTTTCTGGGAGGTGTTGTTTGTCTTCAAGAAACACTGCCTCAAGCGGTACCACTGTCAGGTTTACCATGGTCTGATTTATTCATGATAAACGTAGCATAATATCATCTCTGAGTTAATGTTTTGGAGCATCGTCAGAGTTTGATTTCATTGTCTCAGTCAAACTATACAGTCAACAACAGTCCAGCTTGTTACGATGATATGAGCTGTAATAGATAGTCTGGCATGAAGCAGACATGTCGTAAGTCATCTCAACTTCCTCATAGCGGTTTTGATGCTCATTTATTATACTCCGATGGGCTCAGCTGTGTGACATGATGATTGCTTTAATATCTAAGTGTTCTGTAATGTCACTGTTGTTGTTTTCCCCTCATATCATCTCATTCACCTGATTCTTCTCTCTCCAGTGTGTGCCAAGGAGGAGTGTTCAACTGTACCACCGAGCGGTGTGATGGTGAGTGATGCTCTGTCACAGCTGTCCTCATCAAGCACGTTTCTTTCACTTCATAAGGCCCCTCTCTTGTAGCACTGGAAACACCAGCAACAACAATCTTTAGTTGAACTGTCAGGCCCATGATAGATATGTCAACCTATCTATAGTTAGTAACAGCTGCTGCAACAGTTGGCTCAAATAATTGCGCGACAGCCACATCAATCATAGCCCACAAAGGCCATTACTGGGTTTTGTTTCGTAAACACGCGATACGATCTTGAACCAGCAAGGGGAGAAAGATGAAAGATAAAGGGGAGCGGAGTGTCACAAAGTGCAACCAATCATATCCTCTTAAGAGAATTGAATGTGCGAAGAGCTCTGTGATTTGACCTGGGTTTCAATCTGTCATTGTTTGATCAGCAGTGCCTTTTATCCTCCTCCTGCTGCCTCTCCTCTGGATTTGGTCGAAGTGAATTCCCTTTTCCCAGAGAGCAGTGTTAAATAGAGTTTAAAGGAAAGTCTGGGTATTTGTCCACCTGTGAGTTATTCTCATATTTTAATAACTATTGATCATGATAATATTTGACTCAGCACCTCCATAGTGGATTATCTGGAAGGCGCACACTCTGTCAAGAACAGCGTTGATTGGAGTGTTCAGGGAGTGTTGCCTCCTACAGCTTTCAATAGAACTCCCATTTAACAGAAATCATGTTGTCAGAAAAACAATAGGTGCCTCTGGTAATGACAGCACAATCAGCTGGTAAAAATATGAACATGGATCTTTTATTAAAGCTGATTCTCACTCGGTGCTCAGGCTGAAAAGGTACAGTGGGCCAGAGGTTTAAATATTCGAAAATAACAGTTCATGTGCTAATTAGTGATGGCACACAGCTGGCTAAAACAATCATTACTGATCAGTGTACAAATAACACAGTAACACACCAGATACACTTAATGATATTACAAAAAATAACAAAAACGGATGGAATCACTCCTGCAATAATACGGCGATCTGCAAGTTACAGTGACCAGGGGCGTATAGTGGAGGCACCAATGGACCATTCCCTACTTCCGACCTTCCTACTCCCGGCCCTCTTGCTCAGACCACACCCTTCTTTAAACTCAGCCTTCATTTTGATCTCAACTGCACACCTGTAAGGTTTTGTCATGGCATCTTGCAGGCTTGCAACGTCATTATGTTGACAAATTCTGACCAAGGGTAGACATCAACATCTAGCAAAATAGTGTCACCAGAACCATAGTCTTGCTCACCAGACCTTTCTCAAGAAAAGAAAGGTCTGGCTGGGCCGACTCTCGCTTTAAGATTGGAGAAAAAAACACCCCGGCTGCTTGTATTTCTTTTAACCAATCACAATCGTTTTTGGCGGTGCCAGCAAAGGTGCGCTTGCAAAAATATTGCCGGGGGGAAACAGGTTTTGGTGTAACACGCCCACAAAAATATCGCCTACAGGACGCGAACCATGGCAGAAAAATGGCTATATCCCCCCAAAATCAAACACTGTAAAAGTTAGTAAAGGACGTGTTGAAAACTGCTACACAACCGGAGGTGGTAGGGCAGGACTTCAGCGGGTGTCTCGTTCCGCCCAATGAGAGGCTGATCTATGCAGCGAACTTCCGCCCACTCAGACTGCCAGAACCACAATTCGCCTTGATGACACACAGACTCACGAGATGAAAACAAAACCAATAAACCAACAAATATAATCTCAAACACTTATCTCTGAGTCCGACTGAAAGTTAACACAGGAAGTTAGTCCCCTGGTAATCCTTGTGGCTGCTGTAGTGAACAGGATAACAGTCATGGAGCAGTTAGTCTCTTATTGTATAGTGGCATTCTATTAAAAATGATAACAGTATGTGCTGGGGCTACAGCTACAGATTCTCTTAGTAATCGAGTATTCTATCAATTATTCTGCCGTTTAATCGAGTAATCTGATAAGAAATACTGCGTGTTTTAATTAAGTTACTTTTAGCTTTATTTAAGAACAGTAGTAATATATAAAAGAGAAAATAAGAAACGTCTCTGAAATGAGAGAAATGAGCAACACGTTTGTTTCCTTTTTTGAAAGTCAGAGCTGTCAACTCTCAGGTAGTCAGCGTGAGAGTCAAGCAAATGACTAGTTTCACTGGCACTCATGCTGTCAGAAATAATCAGTGTTGGCCAGTAGCTCACTACAAGAAGCGACGTTATGAATTTAACAGCATTCTCAGTAGCGTGGTGGTAACGCCGCTACTTTCTGAGTCAAATAGCTTCTCAATAGTGAAGTTTATTAACTGACCGAGTAGCGCGGTAGCGTCTATAAAAGTTACAGCTGTTTTTCCCAGGAAAAGCTGGCTTTATACACGGCTGTGACTATTGGTAGCACCTATGCCACTTATTCATCACACGTAGGCCAACCTGCAAACCATCATAGCGGTGATATTTCAGTCCTCATTATAAAATGTCAGACAGATTGACTATTAATTTAAAGCTCTACAGCGGAAGTAACGTAAGCCTCGAGCCTTTTTAGTAATAAAATTATTTGAGTCGCTCGAGGAATCGTTTCAGCCCAAGTATGTGCTTAATTTTGCAATTGGGAAACTTGCAGACATGAACCATCTTCTCACATGTGCTACTCCTTCTCTAGTATGAGCACAAGCTAAATCAAAAGTGATGCACATTCTCATGTGAATACAAACTGCTGTGCACTGATGAATACAGCAAGAAATCTGCCTGCAAGTTGACCAGGAAGAAAATCCAAAATACTTTGCAGTTGTCAACAGCAGTCGTAGGGATTGCATTGTTTTAGGTTCATTTCTGTTAAATGAAAGCTCACTTTTATTAGCCAAAGTCTGTGTCTCCCAAAACTCTGCGAAGGAGGTGATGAATAAATGTTATCATGACCAAAAGTCATAATGGATAAAACAGTATGAGGAAAACATCCAAGTTGACAATAACTATAATATTCCTTTAACCTGCAACAGTGTCTGTTGCTTTCAAAGAGATGCATTAATTCAAACACATTTGGTTTTGGTGTGTGTGCTCTTTAACTTGCCTTTTCCTTAATGCTCCATTTTTTCCAAGAGATCTCTGACAATATATCTAAACACATAACAAGCTGTCTGTGGTGAGACTTTGTCTAGAAATGTACACATTATTGAAAACAAATTTGTGCATGTTGACATTGGGTTTTTGTTTTGTCGCCTATTTCAGCATTATTTCAGTAGATGTTGCCGTTAACAAATGGCTTTAATAAAAAGCGGTGTGACCATAATATCTGTAATTGTAGTTTATATGGGCGAGCCGAGGTGTAGTGCTCAGATGACAAATATTTTCTATATGCTGCTCTGCTGCTGCAGGTAAATGAATGTCAGACTAACTCTAACCTGATGGTATTTATATTCTTCTTTTCCTGCAGTGGACTGTGAGTGGTCCAGCTGGTCCCAGTGGAGTCTGTGCTCTGCAAGCTGTGGTACAGGGCAACAGAGCTCCACGAGAACCATCCTGCAGCCCAGCCTGTACGGAGGGGCTCCATGTGAGGGCCCCGAGCACCGCACAATGACCTGCATGGCCCCTGACTGCGGTGAGGGAGAAAGACGGAGAGAGAGGATGTTTTATTGTATGAAAAATTGTTAATATTGAAACAGTCAATCCAAAAAAAAGTCATTACACCTCACTAGAATCTTACCGAGCTCTTTTCATATGAAAAGAAGTGTGTGCGCTTTGATGTGAGAGAACCGAGAGCAGATATGCACGCTTGTTATCTCAAACCCCGAACTTGATAGATTGGAAAATCCATGTGTGTGCAGTGCCAATTAAAACTAGTCTTAGACTGTGTTTGTATAATTATGTGGAAGCCAAGCTGCTCCCACGGGTTATGCAAGAGTCATTTGTCACTCATTATAAAAGACAGGTAAAAACTCAGACTGCTCATTTAGACAGTGAGATTTGATGTAAGAGTTCTCTCTCGTACGTGAATAAAAAGAAACCACAGATATGTTGATTTAGTCTTTTATTAAAGAACCTAAAGTCGACATAATTTCTCTATCTCTTTATATTCAAAAACAGTGATCAATAAATCTCTGTTTATGGCGGTGTAGAACCTCGAGCTTCTTGTAAAAGCAAATAGGGTGTAAATTTACAGTTTGCTGAGTGCTGTTCCTTTTAATTACTGTTGCTATGATTGTCAAATTTCCCATTCTCTCACAGCACATATGCAGTTGCAACAATAACGGTAGCAGGTTCACCATCGAAATCCCAGTATATTTTAGGAGCAATGGGTCCTTGATTTCACACAGAGATGGACAAAAGCAGGATTCTAGTCTCTAATCAATCAGTGACCATCAGTTTCTCCCACTGAAATGACACCTGATGCTTGCAGATTTTATTAAAGCTTTCAAGTAGTGATGGCCAAATGAAGCCTCATGAAGCATTTTCTTTATTTTCTGAGCCCACTAGATGGCGCTTTTTGTTCAACAAAAGGTTGAAAGCACACTGAATTGCCATTCTTTGAGCCTCTCTCTTTGAACCATGAGCGCCATCTAGTGGGCTCAGAAAATAAAATGCTTCACAAGGCTTCATTTGGCCATCACTACTTTCAAGCCAATTAAGATGACTCACTGACTCATGACACACGATGCTGATTTGTGCTATGAGAGCTAATCCGCCCCGCCAACCTGTAAACATATGGATTAATCAATGACCCGAACACCAAACTAGCAAACTGGGGCTGAATGTGTCTGGTAATGACCTGCTGTTGGGTATGTTATCTGTCATTTCCATTAAATATCATAATATAAAACATGTTTTCTCTTTTAAAAAGTAATAATGACAGAAGGACAGCCAGTACTTACCCATCTTTTAAGTCAGTCTTTTCAACTGGTGGGTCATGGTCCAAATGTGGGTCATGAGTCCTTTCTGAATAGACCGCAAGTGACTCAGGAATGCTTTATTTTACAGAGTACAGTGAATCCGGCACAGAGTTTTTATTTTGAAGTGCCGTTTCCTGATGTAGAGAGAGTGACTAACAAGACATCTACTTGACAGAGACAGCAAATCAGCTCGACGACATGGCCAACGAAAAAACAGCTACAAGTTAGAGGGAATAGTGATAAAGTGGTAAAACTTGGCATTGATCCACAGCCTCAGACGGATGTGCTCAAGCGGGCCGTGCACACAAGCTCCGTTGGTAGGCTATACTATATTTTCACATTTTTAACAATGCAATTTAAAAGTTTTGATTTTTATTGATAACCTACATTTACCAACAACAAAAAGACTACATTTAGCACCAAAAAAAATGTAAAAAAAAAAAAAGATAAATAAAAAATAAGTAAATAAAAAAACGAATATCGAATACCAAATTTTCATAACGAATACCTACCCATAGAAACGAATATTCAAATATCCGAATATTTGGGTACAGCCCTTTAACCATGTGGTTTGTTTACATGAGCGCACAGCTGATAACCATGTGGTTTGTTTACATGAGTGCACAGCTGATTGATAGTTTTTTGAATATGTGATATTACAGAAGTGCATATTTAACAGATCCAGCATGGACTGAGAGGCACTAACTTCTTGTTGCGACGTGATGTTAAGCCTACGTATTTGCAGAGGGAAATATTTTTCCTGGTTTTTATGTCAGGAAAGATTTAAATCTGTTTGACTTCAACATATTTTCCTGGTCAAAAGCCAAATAACGGAAAGCCTGAACGCGGCAGTGCAGGTAATAAAGCGTCCTGTTGTGCGAGAGAGACAGAGACAGAGAGAGGGGACGAGAATGTTTCTTTAGGTTATAATGACTTACTCAGAATGGTGCTTTGTCACTTCATGACGCGCCTGCCCGAACCTGCAATATGTTCTAACAAGCTTAACCGAACCACTAGACCATCTGTAGTGATGGCCAAATGAAGCCTCATGAAGCATTTTCTTTATTTTCTGAGCCCACTAGATGGCACTTTTTGTTCAACAAAAGGTTGAAAGCACACTGAATTGCCATTCTTTGCGCCTCTCTCTTTAAACCATGAGCACCATCTAGTGGGCTCAGAAAATAAGGAAAATGATTCATGAGGCTTCATTTGGCCATCACTACCGACGGGACCCACGGGCTGTGGGTCGACCCACACATCACCAATGTCTTCATACCTGAGCTAATGCTAAAAGACTGTGGTCAAAAAACTACATATCCCAAGCAAAAAGTCAGCATTGAAGAGTAAAGACATAGTATTGTTCTGAAGCTTGTTTGTTCTAGTACAATGTCAGAATTCATTGGTTATAGTCTGACAAAGATACAGCTTCTGGAGACAATAGCCAATATATCATGTTATTTCACTTAATCAGGAAAAAGTCTGAAATCTGTCTTGCATCTTAGGACGTCAGCTGTTTTAACACAAAAATACACCAAACAACAAAACCATAGTACAAACAGTATAAATCACATCAGACATTACATAAAGTGGATGCAGTGCAGTAAATTAGTTGTTCCTTTCACATTCATCTTTGGACTCAGAGGAACAAAATACTTCTTCAACCTGCTCAATCGAGCCTGAGAGACTCAAAATTTTCTGTGGGATGACAAAGGCTGATATGCTTCAAATAAAGTGTGCGAGGGGTCTCATGTGATGTTACCCGCCAGAGACTACATTCTTTTAGTATATGCAGCTTTATAACTTTGACCCACAATCTGAGCAGATCTGGAGCGGTCTACCAGTCCCGTCCAATCTGGAGTAGCCAGCTGATATCTGGGTGAAGACCCCTTGTGCGTGTGCCACTCATTGTTTACAGTTCAATTGGCAGCTTGAGACACGTCCAGACAACATGTTGGCTAATCTCCATAAACAGATATCTGCATATAAATGAAGATAAATCAGACAAAAGTTAAGAGAAGCTAAACTGTCGTCAGATGATGGCTGATGGGTGTCAAGACTGCATTTTGGTCAGCGGGCTCTTTTTCTTTTAGTCTCCATGTGGACTCTTTACTTGCAGGCAACCAAAGTTTAGCGAGTGGTCAACTGGTGTTACGTGTTATTTACAGTGGTTTTAAAATGTTGTAGAAATGATAAATATCTTATGCCACAGCAAGAGAGAGAAACATTGAACAAATGTTTTAAAGTGTCATGCTGAGAGCTTCTGCACCTTCAAATGCAGTCATTTCTGCACACCCTGTTGATTCCCGTCCTCCTTTTTTCCCCCCCAGTTGATCTTTAAATTCTCTCCACTTTTTCAATTTTCTGGCCACATCCTACCATCTTCCCTCCACTTTCTATTTTCTCCCACCTCTCCACCTCCTCTGCAGCGTGTCCTGATGGGGAGCAGTGGAGGAGGAGTGCTTCGGAGGAGGTCCCGCTGTGCGAGAGAAGCTGCGAGGACATTTACTCTTCCTCCCCCGTCAACTGCAGCCGCTCCGCTGAGGGCTGCGTGTGTCAGGAGGGGCTTTACCGCGACACCGGGGGTGTGTGTGTCATCGCCGCCCTCTGCCCCTGCCATGACCAGGGCATCCTGCGAGAGGTACACACACACACGCACTGGCTCACACCCAAAATAAACAGACAGCTGCTGCCCGGCTAACTCGGCAGCATGTACCCATTGTGCCTGCCTCATTGTGTCGTGCATCTGAACCTTAATGTCAGAGTGGTGTTTACGTTCCCTCCAATTCACTCCCATTGTGTTATTTACTCATAAAGAAGGGCCCATTAGAAGATGAGTGACATGCCCTGCGGGCCACATTACACCACAGTGCCTCTCCAATCCTCAGCCTCATCAATTATGCAGGAAGTGCCGTAGAAAGCCAGCACTGGGACCGCAACTGGGCAAGCCTGCCAGGAATTATTTATGAAGGAGGGGATATTATAGGATAATAAGAATTAATCATACTCTGACAAGAGGTCCCCCCCCCCCCCCCCCTTGATCTTTCTTCTTCAGGACTTTCTGTCTTTCATTCTCTCTTTGTTCCTTTCTTTCCTCCCTCATACCTCTGCTTTATCTCTCACTCATCCTGCTTTCAGTGCAGGACTCACGTTCAGTCTCTTACAACTCCATCTGTTTTCTTTTCATTCCCATTCTCCCTCAGTCCTCTCAGTCATTCTTCCTTTCTGTCTCTGTCTCTCTCTCTGTCAGCTGGTGATGACTAATGTCCATATAAAGACCCTCTATGGTTTTCTAATTAACTACCTCATGACTATTACGCCAAATGGCTCAGTGTGAGCACAGAGGCACTCTCAAGTTGGTGCCGTTGTGCGGGTTAGTGACTTCCACAGCAGCACACATAAAGAAAATAATCTAATGTAGTCTGAATTATGTGTTGTAATTATTACAGCATCATAACCTAAATTATTCACGAGGGTGCAGCCACAGCTTTAGTGTATTCACTGAAGAAATCAGTCCTGAGCTGTGACCAGTTGCACTTCATCAAAGCTGCACTGACTGTCACGCAGTAATGTGAGTGCGCATATTACCTGTATTTCAAAAGTCTGGCGAGTGAATATGTAAATTTTGTGCGTGTGTTTTTGTGTGTTTGTGTGAGCCAGGCAGGATCAGAGTGGGAGGAGGGCTGCCTGTCATGTCGCTGTGTGAACGGGGAAAAACTGTGCCAGTTAAGATGCCCGCCACTCGACTGTGACGAGGTGAGACACACACACACTGACGTCTGTCCGGTTGTGCATTTGTACTAATTGAATGAGAGTGTCTGTTTTTATCATTAATACCAGTTGCTCTCATAATACCATCACTGCTCTCCATGGCCCCGTACACCCACAGATATCAGAGGGGTAGCTGCCTCAGTAGGAACTTTATAACAAAATCTCTATTAGCTGATTAATTATGTCGTAGTAGTAGTAAGTTAATTTAGTTTGTTTGAGCTAGCAGCAGTTAGCTGATGTTCAGTTAGTATCTCAACTAGAGATGCACCAATTGTAAAATTCTTTGGTTGTTTATTTTGTCTTTGTTGTTATTTATTCCCCCTTTTTTGCCAGTGAAACAATGAAATCTTTAATATAAAAATAACTAAACTGTTTTAAAATAAGTCAGCCCTTCATGACACTACCTTTGAATGAGCACAAAATCAATCATTAGTATTTATGAAACAACCTTAAATGCAACCTTTCACATGAACCGCTTCAAAAGCTTTTTTACTGTGTATGTCATAATTTTCTCTCTAATATCTATTTTATATTGCTGTGAAAACATAAACTAATTCCTCATCAAATAACTGTATTTATTTAAATTCTCACCAAGAACAAAATTTTACAAAAGCATGTTTTTGTACGCATTAGGGTTGGGTCGGTGTCAGGAAAAAAAAAAAAGTCTGGTTTTTGTAAAAAATCGCATCAAGTCGGTAATACCGGATTTTCGCCACTTGGGGGCGCACTTGACTCATTTAAAATAAAAAACGACCTTAGGACAACAGAGTGACAGTAACAAGTTGTTTCTTTTATTCCTTACAAATAAATTTTGCAGCTTACTCAACCAATGCAAACAAGGGTTGCCTCCTTCATCTGGCTCAAAGCCAAAGTGTTGCCATAGTGGCGCATTCTTTGATTTTGTCGAGACTAAATTGTCCGCCATTATCGAATCCCTGTTCGCACTCGCACCTCCGAGCTCAGTCCCCGCCCCAACCCCCTCTCTCTCCTGCTTGCTGTGCGCTTGGTGAAGAGGCAGACACAGGTGCTCACAGACTCAGGCGTACTATAAGCGGAGCGGACTCTGTGTAAAAATGTCCGTGAAAAATCCCCGCAATGTGAAAAATACATGCCGAACAGTCTTTTGTGTGACACTGGTGCACGGAGCGGAGTCAGCGAGGTCGTGCTTTGCGTGCACAGGGCTTGCAAAAGTCCACTTTTACTGGGCGGACCTCCATGGCGTCCACTCCGCGTACGTTCTGCCCGAGTATGCGGTCCAGTCGGTCTCAAAAAATAAAACCCGGTCCAAGACGGAGTACCGCACCAAATTGGTATTACCGAGAACGACCCAACCCTAGTACGCATCATGATAACAGTTATAATATATCTTCACCAATTTTTACTGAATAGCGCTTGAAGGCATCACAATGTAACTCACTGCAACCTCAATAAACTATTAGTTCCGGGCACGGGCTGCTAACAGCTAACCTTAACTAGCTCTCCTCCTGTCAACATCAACACAGATTTGTTGCTCACAATGTAGAATTACCGGAGGAAAAACTTGGGTGCCTCCCCAGACACGTCAATAGTGAGTTTACCAGTGTTAATTTTGTTGACGAAAGACCTTTTTTCATGACGAAAATGAGTCTATGATGAGATAAAAGAAGATCTTGATAATAAAAACCAAGATGAAATCTATGTTTCATTTTCTTTGATGAGACAAGACGTGCTTGTAACTATCTTCAAATGCCGCACGAGCAACAGGCTCCAGTAAATAGTCTGTGCCAGGATGTTTCACTAGCCAGCATCAACACTCACACCGGTCCAGCGTCAGTTGTGAGCTGTCATTCAGCAGTAAATAATCAGCCATGTGTCGCTGACTGTGGATGGTGGAGCTGCTGAATGGATTTGTAGAGTTTGGTAGTTGCAGCTCAGGACTCCACTCTCGAAAAGGTTTATGGTTTGATGGTGTTTGACAGGCAGGTAGGACGCTCAGTTATCTGTAATCAGTAAACAGTCTGAGCTCAGCAGAGTGTTGAATCACCAACTCTCTGAGATGACATGAGTTTCAATCTCCAGCTAACATGTCACAGAAGATGTTTTTCTTCTTTTTAACAGTCAGAGTTTACAGTGAACCTGGGTACAGATCCTAGTTGTCAGATTAGTTATTTGTGGTGTCAGAGTTTGTGAGAGCATCAATAGAGAGATGTTGAGCTTTTTCAAATGATGATCAGTAAGCGTGTGCTCGTACATCAGTCCTTGAACCTGTCAAACACTGCTGGAAAAAACACATTTGTAAGTGTTGAGAAATTATTTGTAGTTGCAGAAAAAAAAGTTTAAATCAAATATTTATACAACCTGTCACTTTGACTCTAATTTCACTGGCTTAATTTAAAGATAAGAAAATATATAGAATACGTAACTACTAAAGGTTGACTGAAAGGTCATGAATTTTTGTCATTGTCGACTAAAACTAGATTAAAACAATGAAGGATAAAAATGATGAAGACTAAGACGAAATCTAAAATAGCTGTCAAAATTAACACTGGAGTTTACTGCGTCCTTTTGTTCCCAATGGCGTCACTGGGGTGATTTCTGTTTGTCCCAACCACGGTTTCTATTGGCCCCGGGACGACAAGATGCTGTTACTCTTGAGCCCTACTTTATAGCCTACTCAAAATTGAGGTGAGACAACAGAACAATATCGGCCACTGCCATGAGTGAATGTTACCTTATTTGCTGATGGGCTGATACAGTCAACATGGCGAAGATCAGCCAATAGTGATGTTGACTGATGAATCGGTGCATCCTTAACATATACTGTACCACTATCATACCACAACAAGGCAGTTCAGTAACCAAAACACATCACACACAGATGCAAAGACTAATGTATAGGCTATTTAAAACATTCACTGATACTAATTCTAAGTAGAACTTTGTAAGTCCCTCAGAGGAGGGTCTCTAACTTTGTGTTGCAGTTCGTTACAGTGGTTCGATGCGTGGCACTGGGAACCAGTCATCAGAGTAATTAAGAGAAACTTTTAAAGTCGATCTATCTTTATTCTCATCTGTCTAGTGTAGTGTTCATTTTTGCAAAAGTGGATTAGGGCCACATGTGAAAAATGTATTTGAGTTTTGAGTTTAAAGTCAGACTTCTGAGAGTAAAGTCAGAAGAATTCTGACGGTCAGAGTGACGGCTGTGACCGGAGCAGTCGTGAAAATCAAACATGCTAGACTTTCGTGAGGCTCCCAGATGTGGCATCAGTTGTCATCTGCTATGACACACTACATGAGATGAAACGATGGATTATCGCATATGACTCTCATTGTCGTTCACGATCCGAGCAGACACCGTATGATGCTGCATTAGGCTGTAATCGGGCTGATATCATGTAGTGTGTACCTGGTATAAGGAAGTATTAAGTATCTAAGAACCTTGGATATCTTTGCCTTACAAATGATAACAGTTATGCTGTGATTTCTAGTGATGAGCACCTGACTAATCTTATTGGTTATGTGCTGAGTTTTGTCTGTTGTCTGTAGGGTTGGGTACCGAAACTCGGTACTTTTTGTACTTGGTATCAATTCACGTCGGTACTACCGAGTACCAATTCACTTAAAATGAAACGGTGCCAAATTTCAGTACCTGAGGTGGAGGCGGAGCGAGAGCGCATAACTCGCACCTCAGACTCAGCAACAATGGCGACAAAAACAGTGTGCAGACAAAAGTTAACGTGCAGCACTGTTCCTAAATGTTCTCAATAAAATGTTGAAACTGAGAAGTTTAGACTATGGGCCCAAACAACGCATAGAGAATCCAAATTCACACCCGTTCTTCTCTGTGGATTTTCTCCGAGACCATGAGTCATAGCGAGAAGCCACGCATATCAGTGGAAACAGCAGAATTCTGTTGTTGTTGTCAGTCACTTCATATAGTGAGGAATACCGTATCTTACCACGTCTTAGGCTTGCGTGTGTTTCTCCCTGTCTATCCACATTTGTAGTCCGGTTTTCAAGATGCAAATATCTCCATATTGTCCAGTTGACACTCCATCAAACTTTGTATGACAAGACCAGCCACTTCACCTTTGCGCCCCCAGACAACTGCAGCCTAATGCATGCTGACAGGGCCGTAGTCACCATATACATTGAGGGGGACACGTGCCCCCCCACCAATGCCCAAAATGTCTCCCCAATATATAACTGAAACTGAAAAACAAATATTATCTTGGAGGACATCATTGCACTTGGTTGACTATTTTTCTATGATCTTAGGTGTAAATATTTCATGTTTCTTTCAGATAAAACACATTTTTGACTTGAGTCAATGGAATTTCTTGCAATAATGAAAAAATACTGGCAATCATGTCCGCCTGGCACAAACCACATGTTTTGGACAGCTGTGAAGTGACAGAATGTCCCAGCATCATGGTACTTATATTGCCAGATTCCAGAGAGTCTCCCCTCTTCATATATGGCAGAATATGTCATTTTCCAACTTGCTATGCTGAGATACATGTAAAAATGTAAGAATTTAGTAACACAGATTTGTTTTTTTCATTGATATAAAAGGCACATAGAAGGACATGTAATGATGGCAAATCTGGTTAGCCCAGATTGTCCTGAAAAAAAACAAGATATAGCATGTGTATGTAGCCTTTATAATGACTGTGATATGAGCTTAGAAGTAAAGGCAGTAAAAATACCCCAAAAACGCCTAGGGCCCATAGGGTTAAAAAGTACCGAAATAAGGTACCATTTGGTACTGGTACCAAATTCCAGATACCAGTACCGTATCGGTTCAATTATGAACGGTACCCAACCCTAGTTGTGTGTGAGTCTTTCAAACAATGAAGGCTGGGTTTTGTACCCAATGAGGCCTATAGATCCCAACACTATTTTGTTTATAATCCCTTAATACGAAGCATTGTCTACAACCAACCCTACAATACAGAGCGATGCCTGTGAGTTGTGGGCAAATTAATTGAAGCATGAGTTCCCCT